TTATTTCGCGCAGACGTGAAACCTATCCTATAAAAATTCAAAGAAGGGTATTTCGCTTAAACTTGTGATTAAAAGCTGTACTTGAAGAACTTTTGATTTGCTATTAAAAGCCGTATAGCTTCTAGAACTTGCAATTTTAGATCAATTCTAAGAAATTTTCAAGGTAATAGTCTCAATCTTAGTTTCTAGACTTCTAGCTGCTTTGGATAAAGTTGAATCGGTCAATAAAAGTCTAACTTTTGAGAAGGATATGGAAATGGATATGGAAATGAATATGGAAAAATTTAAATACTTTAGCTCTACACTTTAAATACTTTAAGCTTAGCTCCTTATCAAAGTTGAGTCAGTTAACTCGTGGGAAATTTTTTGAGAATGAATCAGGAACTCTTATCGACAGTTCGCACAACTGTCAAAGCCTTAATCAGCTGCTCTTTTTGTGAGGATTTATGCTGATCTCCACCAACACTTACAATGAACATCGGAAAATTGATGAGGATCAGAAAAAGACCAACGATTTATTTTTAGAGCGTTCAACAACGCTCAATCTCAACAGGATAAGTCTAGACTTATCCTGTTGAGATTGAACGTTGTTGAACGTTGGTTTTTGTAGCCTTTGTGCTTTGTATGAGCTTTCGATTCACTCTATAAACAGCAAGAATGAATGAAATCAAGACTGAAACCAGGCATAAGGCTTGCCTAATCAGCTTAATCGTATCTCAATTAAATTTTATCGGAAATAGCATGATATCACCAATCACTAATGATCATTGTTGTCATTATCAAAGAAAAGAGAGCAACGATCTCATTTAACAAATCTCATCTATCAAATCGTGGAAAAGGATTTTGATCAAAAAAGGAACAGTCAAAAATATAGGAATCACGAATTTTTATAAGTTATTGAATTTGTTATTGTTATTGATAAGACATTGTTTGTTGTTATTGTTATTGATAAGACAATATTTGTTTGTTAATTTTTGTTATTGATAAGACAATATATTCAAAGATAAGAGGAATCCGAAGCCTTAAAACTGAATGGCTTCATTGCAAGAGGGTTAGAAATGTGTGCTTAGAAGTAATGGGAAATTCGTGATCAAGCAAAAGACAATAGACGTACTTTTAAAACCCACAAAGATTGGTGTGGATGTCACTGTTTGGGGAAGGTCCTGCAGTGACCAATTCCGACTCGATTCTGTCCCATTCCCCTCACAATCCTCTTTAGATCAGTGCTGATTTTTTGAGTCCTCTTCACGATCTACACGACTGGTATACGACGACTCTTTGTCTCATTTCTTTGTGTGAAAAAGAGAAAAGATCAGTTCAGTCTTCGAATGGACTTTCGAATGGACAAGACTTTGAAAGGAAGAGAGGTTTGTTGACTCAAGCACCATCAACAACAACCTTCAACAACAAACATCACTTTGTGACATTTAGTGAGCACGTAAATGGTGGACAGACTTGTCAGACTTCAAGGAGCATCTGTATTGTAAGTAAAGCACTATGATCTTGACTAATACGTTACCGATAGCGTGTCAATTTTGTCAAGACTACCGTAAAGGCCCCGTAGATGCCCCGTAGAGAGCCGAATTCAAAGAGACCAGAAAAAAAGGAGATCGAGATGAATTCCTTTAACAATTTGAATTGCATGCCATTAAATCGATAATAAGACGGCGTTGGTGTAACGTTTCAAGACCAAAGAGTTGCTCAAGAACAATTTCAAAGCATTCCAATCTATCTACAGGATAGTAGATAGATTACGATCGTCTCGGTATATTAGCTCCCAAACGCCAAGTTCAACCCAAATCTTTTAAGTGTTATATAAAATATTGAAGCTCTTAATCTTGGCTACATTTACCTATCAAAAGTTTCCCGATTCGAGATATACAACTCATTTTACAAGCTCTTGAATGAGTACTAGTTGATCCCTCTCCTGCTGCCATTTTCTTGAATTAGAAAATGTTTCTTTTGGTCAAACTTGTGGCATTTTGTCTAAAAATTGTTTCCACTAGGTCAATTAATATAACAAGGAGCTACATATAAAATGAACACTAAAAAAATACTCAATTTTCACTTCTTTCCTTGTTCCATCAAAGAAAGTTGACTTCAACTCAAATTTGAGTAAGATATTGTGGTCAAAAAAAGTTCTTAATGTTATTAAATGGTGTTAAATAATCTTCTAATATCAAATAAATATCGAAAAACTTTCTTTAATAATTTATTAGAATGAAAATCACCAAGCGTGCCGGAGAGGGATCAACCGAGAGGGATCAACAAATTCAAAAGCTTGGAAAATGAGTTGTATCTCTCGAATCGGGGGAACTTTTAATAGGTAAATGCAGCCAAGATTAAGAGCTTCAATATCTTATATAACACTTAAAAAGATTAGGGTTGAACTTGGCGCTTGGGAGCTAATTGACTAAAAAGAAGTCGCCGTAAATACTGAAGACCCTGTACTTTGTGCTCAAATTTTGTGACGAGTTACAGTATGTTTGCACTTTGTAATCAAAATAGTAAACGAATACTGAACACCGTGATCTTGCCACGTTTCTTTAGCTTTATCATTATCTGACATCATGTAGGTGATGTTTATATAACACTTAAAAGATTAGGGTGCTCAAATTTTGGCTCCTTGGCTCCTTTTTTTTCCTTAGCACTTTTAGATTTTCGGATGGAGTTCAAATGTTAACTTATCCTTATGGGTTAACTTTTTTTCAACAATAGGCTTTATTTGCTGTTCAAGTAATCAGATATTTTTGTCAGACTGATCTGAGTCAGACTGTCAGACATTTGTGAGTTTTATTTAGCTGTATAAATTGAAAAGCTTTAGATCCAGTTCCTGGTACTGATTACGCAAAGAATTCACACGCTTTTTCTTCCTGTAACTACAATTTCTGCTCATTTCGCTTTTAGGGTACAGATTCTTTTTGTAATTTTCAAAAATTTTAGCTGAGAAAGTCACAACTTTGATTTGAAAGCCACAACTTTGGTTTGAAGAATGTTAATGGTATTCGTGCCTAGGTATAAACGGATGTGGACTAGAATTTGGGTTCTAGTCCACACCCATTTCTCCAAAAGGGATCCACTCTCTTTAACTAGAAAAGTTAAAGAGAGTGGATCTCTTTGATATCCCGCCATCTCACAATAGTAACTAAAATATCAGTTTGGCTCGGAGCTGACAATGGGCAAGATTGAAAGCCACAACTTTGGTTTGAAGAATGTTAATGGGCAAGATTTTTGATGAGTTCATGCTTGAATATCAGATTATTTCATAAGAAAAATTGTGTTTTTCTAATGTAAGTTATTCATTGTTTTTTCTAAAGAAGAAATCTCACGTTTAATTAATCTTTCTTTTGATTGAATCACTCAGAATGAATCTATTTGTCAGCCTAGACTCTATTCACAAAAAGTACAATGTAACAAATGAGTGCACAATATAGAAAAATATATAAAGCAATTGAAAAAGTAGATTTGATTTGGGGAAATTATTGAAATTGAAATAGATTGAAATATATCTTATCAAATGAATTTTGTTGGCCTTGTCAGGGTTTGTTTCTTTCAGGCGAAATTGGATCTCATCCACTCTTTTTCAAAGAAGTCGGATCTTCCAAAAATGGAGATTTCAATTGGAAAAGAATGCCAGAAAGAAACCGAAATTCAAAATGTTCATTGTTCTTTATAGAAACTAAATTTCTAAAGATCACTTTTAATGCTTAATCTCTGAATTTTCTCATTCACAATGCCAGTCTCTCATTTCATTTCTTCTCTCATTTCGAAACTTTTCCCCTCAACCAGTTCATCATTTTTTGACACTGTGAAAAAGCTGACTTTGACAGCTTTAAAACCCAATGTTTCCCTTTTTCTTTCAACGTATTCACTTACTAAATTTTGTTTTCTGCTCTTTTCATTAGTTCTCGTTTCCCTGATGACCTCAAAGTTCAATTTATTGACTCGGAAATAACCTCACGCATGCAATCTTCATTAATTAAAGGCTCAAAAAAACCGAATAGAACGGAAATTTTTGGCACATGTTACTAACAATTGAAGATTTTAATAACAATTGAAGATATTAGTAACAATTGAAGATCTGACTATGATCAATTTTAATGCTTAATCTCTGAATTTTCCAATTCACAATCCTCTCATTTCGAAACTTTTCCCTCAACCAGTTCATCATTTTGAACAATTGAAGATCTGACTATGAGCAGTAAGCTGAAACAAAGGATATTCGTCATGAAAACAAGTAGCTCATAGAGAAAGCTTGAATAGAAAAAGCTAAAATAGAGAAAGCTAAAATAGGCAAAACTTGAATCCTTCAAAAGTACTCATATCGAGGTTTAGTTATTTTTTTCTGAACCAGAAGTTAATCTAAAATGAAAGTTATTCAATTCAATTGAAATTGTTCATTGTTAGCCTTAGTCAAGTATTAAAAGTGTTATGGTAAGCTTAACTAGAGTATCTTTCTCGTCATTAAATCATTAATCGATTAAACTAAGCACTCTAAGCTTAACTGTCAAATTTCGTTATCATTCTTATGCTAGAGTTCAAAGGCCATTTGGCTTTCATTTGGCCACTATTTCATTTCAATCCAGACTTCAATTCCCATGCTCATCTCCGGTAATTTTATAAATTGAGTCATGAACCTCATGAAAGAGAGAGCAGAGACCGTTGTCGTCAAAGTTTAATTGGTATTCGAAAAGAGTTGTTGCTTTTAAAGAAAAAAAGAAAAAAAAGGGACTTCTTGTTCAGAAGATAGCTTTTTTTCGCTTTTCTCCATTTCCATAATTAATCGGTCCTTTTTTTCTTAACAGAGAAGCGGAAAATAGGAGAAGTGTCTCTGAAATATCCTTTTTTTTCTCATTCACAGAATATTTCTTTTCAAAAACCTTGATTTTTGCAAAGAAACCCTTTCATTTCATTTCTTTTCTTCCAAAATGGAAAATTTTCAATTACATTCTTAGGATTAGAGCCTGTTTTATTCATTTCAATTTAGTTTTTCTTCAGAAATGTTGATCGATGATTGGAAACGAAACATTATCTTGATCAATACCGTATTCTCCTTCGTCTCCAACACGATTCTCCTCTATTTCATCGTCAAATATTCACGAAGACATATTGGTGGATATAGATATTTGTTGGCTACCTTTGCAATCTTTAATATTGTTTTTTCAACTGTTCAAGCAGCTGTGATTCCGGTGAGAAAATTCGATTTGAAAGATCAACAATGACGGTGTTCTTGAAAGAACTGAAGCAGGTCCTTTGCGCAACTGGGTCCTTTGCGCAACTGGGTCCTTTACGCAACTGGGTCCTTTGCGCAACTGGGTCCTTTGCGCAACTGGGTCCTTTGCGCAACTGGGTCCTTTGCGCAACTGGGTCCTTTGCGCAACTCGCCATAACTTTTACAAGCTTTGAAGTATCAATGTTGAATTGAAGTTTAAATGAAAGTTCAATCCCTCAGTTTATTTCTAACTAGTTGCTCTAAAAGAAAAACAAAAACAGAAAAAGTGTACCAAGGATCGAATCCGGTCCATATGGCCGGAAGCCTAATCCCTTATCCACTAGGCCACCAAGGTACATTTTCCCCAGCACAGAGGAGCACTTTAAAGTATCCGTTTCGATTTTCGATTGAAAGACACCTCCGAAAAGTCATTTAGCCGATTTTGAGTTCAGATTCGAATTCCTCATACCCAATTCTATAGAGTACATTGCACATCGGCGCGAAATAAGACAAAAATGCGTTTTCTATCGGATTTTTCTGGGAGTACCTTTTTTAGATGCAGAAAATTGTGCTGATTCCGAATCTGAAGGAATTTTTCAAATCCCTCTGACAGAAATTTTTAAAATTTAGTTTTAGCGGTTTTTTGGTCATTTTCTATGGGAAATTTTGTGGCACCCTGCAGTTTGGGGCTCATAACTCGACAACGAGGGTCTAGAACCAAAAACGAAGGGATAAGTTTTATTCTAGAGACTCTTACGAACATTTTGATGCAAAAATCATCAAATTTGCTCAACTCTGCAAAAAGTTATAGCATCTTTAAAGAAATTTTGCGAAATACACTAAAAACATAAGGGGAAACCGTGGCCGAGTGGTCTAAGGCGCGCGACGTGAATCCCGCGCCAAAGTATGGGGTTGTTGGTTCGGCATTGTCCAGACAAAAGCTCACCTTGAGTTCGTGCCTTTCTCTAGCCTTTCTCTAGCCTTTCTGAGTTCGATCTCAGCCAATGATTTCTGAGCCAATGATTTACTCTAATCCAAATCGAACAGATGTATCTTAACCAATACATGTTTTAAAACAAGTCTATGAACTCGCGAATTTCGAAGTCATCAACCATCATCAACCATTAACAAAATCGACCTTTTCAGGTTTTCCATATCTATCACCAAGGCTGGGTGGTCTTCCCAGCCGGTCAGCTTTTCCTTCGTGATCAAAATTTTGGATATTTTGGCCTTGTACTTTATTGTCAGGTCTCACCATTCCATATTCACCTTTATAATAAGCATTTTAGATGTACTGTCTGTGTCTTGTACTCTTGAATTATCATTTTGTTTACAGATATATCTTGATTTGCCAGTAGGTTTCACTCAAATAGGCTTTGTAGGGTTTCAATGTAAATTTTTGCAAAATTTTAGTGACGAATATATGTACTTGCTGAGAAATCGCTACAGTGCTTTGGTTCTTTTGGGAATTTGGCTGATGAATGGAGTGGTTTGGGGAATTGTTTGTCGATTCACAATGTATCACTGGGATGAGACAAAGGTGAGCTTCAAATTAGAAAGTTTATTTGTTATTTGACTGGTATTTGAATAGTTAATAGGTGAAAATGTAATGATTAGATATTTTTGAATACACTAATCTTTCACTAAACTTGCAATACATTACTTTGAATGGACTGTCAAAGAAAAGTTCGACGAGTCGAAATCCATTCGACAGAATAAAAACAATTATCTTTTGCTTAGCTCAAAATGAGTCATGACTACATTTAGCTACAGTACTGGACAATGAAATATCATATTTGAAAAAGGGTCGTCACTTTCGCGCGTCTGTAACTCCGTTGTCTTTGAGTTTAAACTATTAGTGTTATACACTTTCTGAAAGCTCTTTTCAAGCGCTACACAATGATAATATTAATATTTAGAAATACGGTAAAGATAAGGGAGTTACAGACGCGCGAAAGTGACGACCCTTTTTCAAATATGATATTTCATTGTCCAGTAGTGTAGCTTTTGTCCATTTTCTTCGTATTTTGTCATGAATTTCTCAAACTAAAGCCGGTAAATTAAATTATAAAAACATAAAAAATGAAATTGAAAAACTACTTTCAAATTTCGACTTTTAATTTTGCAAACTAAGCCGGGTAAGCTAGTTTCCGCAATTCTTTTTGCGCAACTGGGTCCTTTGCGCAACTGGGTCCTTTGCGCAACTCGCCATAACTTTCTTCTAAGTGGACCAATCTTTATGATTTTGGTTTCATTTTGTTGCACTTATTGAGATCTACAAAATCAAACCAAAATCATAAGGATTAGTCCACTTAGAAGAAAGTTATGGTGAGTTGCGCAAACGACCAGTTGCGCAAAAAAAATTGCGGAAACTAGCCTACCCCAACTAAACGTTTTTCAAAGCAATCTTAAATGTAGTTAAAGAAGAAAAATAACATTTCTTTGCCGCATCCACTCTTTAGAATTGCATTATTCGAGATCAAAACACTCTAATAATGAAAACATCACTCATAGAAGACTTCTTTCAGTTTTGTGTTTTTGCCCCTAAGAAAATGTTATTGCTTCTGAAGCGTATGGAATAAAGAAAAGATTTTACATATTCTCATATCTATGTTACCAATCTAGCGATTCATGTTTATCTTTTCGTAAATAAGCGTTTATTTTGGATACAATTTGACAGTCGACCCAGAGAATAGTTATTCCCAAAAAGAGGTTCTCGGTTAATTATTGAAAAGTCGAAACCTTTTTTACAGCAAACTAATATTATTTAAGTGATTGCTAATTAAAAAAGGAATTCTCGAGTGTTTTTCTAAAGAAAAATCTCTGATCTGATTTGTCTGGACGATAGTGGATCGAAGCCAGGGATAAAGAATCCGACGCACTAACACACTATCCACTAGGCTACCGAGACAGACCGATTTTGAGTTCAGATTCGAATTAGCATTCGAATTCCTCATACCCAATTCAGATTCGACTTCCTCATACCCAATTCTATAAAGTACATTGAATGCGAATGCCTTAAGTAGGCTGCTGTTTGACGAAATTGGTCAAAACTTTGAAGGCTTATATCTCAAAAATGATTTATGATAAGTAGGATTTGAAAGCAGTTACGGGATGCTTTTAACCAGGTGTTTGCATTTTGGAATCAAATTGTTCCTGAAATCTAACTTCAAGAGATTCCCTGGTAAGCTCTGTTTTTACAAGAACAACTTTAGAACTACATGAGAGCCTCACTACTAAAGTCTTACAACATCGATGCCGACAAGATCGCTATGCTTGGCCCAATCTATTTTGTAAGTTTTGCGGATTGAACCGGTTTTGAATATTGTTTTGAACAGCTCAGGGAGCTTTTTCTTTGCTCTCAATGCTTAGCAAACGCCAAATTTAGCACCAAAATGCGGATGGGATTTCATCAGCAAACTGGATCTCTTGTCTCGGTTCAATATATTGTGTAACGCTTATGGTTTTTTGCTTTGGGTGAGTTGAAAAGATGGCTTTTGACTTAAAAGGCTGGAATTTGACTGAAATTTGGCTGGAATTGGCTAGAATTTGACTGAAATTTGACTGAAATTACAGAACAATAGTTTTTTGCTCATTACGGATCAATAGTGTGCTGTTGAAGAGTCGGATGAGCGATCGAGCAAGAAGGCTACAGAAAGATTTATTCAAAGCATTGGTTATTCAAGTAATGAAAAGATAACGAAAGAATTGAAAAGAGTGAAAAATTGTAGATTTTTTAAACCATTTTGTCTTTAGTTCTTGGTGCCAGCATTTAGCGAATTTCTCCCGGGAACTGTGATGTTCACGAGTCCCCTTTTTGGTGAGTTGCCGAAGTTTGGAAGCTTCTAAGCTTCTAAAATTCTAAAGATTTACATTCATTTGATAGATTTACAGATGTAAACAATGTCATTCAATGATTTACATCAAAATCTTTCAGGCATTTCTCTTGAAAAAGTTGCCAGTCTTGCAGCCGTCCTTGCCTCTTTCAATTCCGTTCTCGAACCCCTTTTTCTTCTCTATTTTGTCAAAGATTATCGATATGCTTTTATGAAAATGACTGGGTTTGTTTAAAGAAATTTTGCTTTAAAGCTAAAGCTTCAGACAAAGAGACAACAGTGGCACCTATTTTGCATCGGAAACACATGAGAGAGTCGATCGAAGTCTTTCAAATGTTCTCAAAAAGGAACAACGGCAAGTGACAAGTTCTTCTACATCAAAATGAAGGATATTGAAGAATAAATAATTTCCATTTGAGTACGGACATCAATCTAAACCAATATTTGCAAAAAAACAAGATTTATTGCCTTTTACAAATACATTTCTCTGACCACAGAGTAGTTATTGAAGCTTATTGAAGCTGCCATAAAGAGACGCATCTAAATGCATTGCCAGTTTTGTAGCCTGAAATGTTTACTACATATCCTTTCTTGACGGTAAATTGATTAGAATCCTCTACACTGAGTTGTGGAAGTTCAAACAAAAGCAGAAGCTTGGTTGCAAGAATTAGAGATGCTTAGTGATAAATGATCATTATGGACTTAAACAGGACAATCTATTCACCCATTGAAGTTAGAATATTGATGTGGGATCGGAATCGAAAGCTTCAATCAAGAGCTATTGGGGGATGCGGGTGGAAGATCTTTAAAATGTTACAGTTTTTGTTAGAATTGGAAACGCCGACGCCTATCTTTAACAGGAATCTTTAATGCTTTCCCATTAAGCATCTCTAGTTGAGATCTCATAAACGCGCACTTTCTGGCTCATGCCAGTAATGATAAAAAAACGGGATGATAAAAAGGAGAGGAAATTTTCTAAGATTTGCCTCAATGATTTTATTGTGGTATATTTGAGGGCTCTCCCATGATTTTAACATTTTAACAGTTTCCTGTGCAGCATTTTCTCCCTTTAAAATCATTTTTTGACATTTGTAGAAACTCAAACCCAAAAAGCAAATGAATGAATGAGTTTAGAAAAGAGAAAAGTTCTAAATTGTTTAAACTTCGTTTTGAAATATGGAATCCGAGTTGAAAAAAAAAATTGATGAGAAGCACTTGCGAAATTGGGGCTTATTGCAATCCCTTTTTCCTTCTCTTCGGCACATTTCGATTTCATCGTCTGTTTAGATGTCTGTTTAGAAAATTTCTTATGAAGAAATCTCTCAAAAAAAAAAAACTAAAACAGGCAAAAAAAAAAATGACCATTCCGATCAGTTATAATGGTTATAAGCCGATTTGTGGTGAAAAGCTCGAAAATGGGTCTAAATTTTCATCAGTTCACCTTTCGAAACCGCAAAAGAACGATAATTGGACTGAATAGATGGGAAGTGGATGAGCGAGTATAAAACTCGATTTTGATCAGAAAAAATCAGAAATGGATTGGGTTCGTGTGTTGAACTTAAAAATCTAGCTCGGAGCTGTAAGCTAGGCAAGGCAAGGCTAGAATTAAGAGAAAGCCAGGTTCTGGTCCTGTCTGGCTTACTGCAGTTCTGAGTCTGTTTTGATCTCTCATTTTTCTCGTAGAATATCAAGTTTTGAAATTCGAAATCGAAAATTTATGTTTTTAATTAATAATTTGTATTTTTAGAAGTTTTTGGGTCAGCATGAGGAACTTTGCTGCAATCTTGGCGGTTAGTTTAAAAAAGTGATTTGTCTGTAACAAGTAATAAGTTTAGGGTTTGATTTGCCTCACTCAAGGACAGGTTCGTTTCGATTTTGACATGACAACATGCATTTAACAGAGAAAACAAAACAACAATGATTTCAGGCTGCACCATCATTTGCTGCACCATCATTCGCTGCACCAACAAATGCTGGAAATATGGGTATCAACCCAGAAATGATGAACATTCAAAGTAAAATGATCGAGTACATCAAATCAAAAGGATGTAACTTGGGGAAAATGATGGTTGGTTCTTCATCTCATTTTTTGTTTACAATAGACATGCGCACTATAACTTTGCTTCATCTAAAGCTTCTTCTCTGCCGGATTGACATGATCTATAGCTCAAAAAATAGAGAATCTTAAGAGCTTTCGAATGAATGGAAGCACACTCAAAAACATTAATGCTAAAGAAAGTTACAGTGGTTTGTAGCCTGACAGACCGTACTCGGGTGTAGTCGAAGCGATCGAGTCAGATACAAAACACTGTAACTTTGTAACTCACTGTATATTTAAGAAAAAGTAAATAGTTAAAATTTACATTTCAAGATAAAAGATAAAAGATAAAAGATAAAACATATAAAAATAAAGATAAAACAAGATAAAAGCGTGAGCAGATAAACGGCACATAAGCCCGGTTATTCGATTCAATTAGCCAAGTTTTTGACGGACCTGGTGGCTGTTTTTAAGCGTTGGTAATTAAAAACTAAAGCTGGATTTAGCATAAACTAAAGCACTAAAGCTCTACCGCAGAAAACCTCTAGATACAAATCTCTAAGCTTTATTGATTCAAACTGACATTTCTCGGAAAAATGTTATCAATTTGTTATTGATAATAAGATCAACTCTGGCTTGACTTGATTTCGCAAAGTTTCACGAAGTTTCCCTTACAATTAGACACTTTTTAGATTACTTATTTGCTATCGCACAGCTATCAAGAGTATAAACGATCATTTCAGGCGTATTACATGGTGGCATGCAAAAACGAGACGCTCGACACTCTCATCAACAAATTTGCGACTTTCTGTCCAGCCCCGGAAAAGGTAGATTCAAGTTAAGATTGAAATTTGACAAGAATTTTCGAGTGTACAAGGCATTTACCTACAAAGTCATTTACTATTTACTTACAAATCCGAATTTCAGGCCGAGATCGACAAAATGATTCAACTCGGTTTGGCAAACAACAAGGCCTTGGTGAACAAGATCATAGATGTGAGTTTTGAATTTTGATAAGGAATCACCGACTTACAAACCTCAAATTCTCAGATTGCTACCCAAGTTGCAGCTTTGGCTAAAGAGGCTGGCCCGATCCTCCTCGACACAACCCAAACGATTCCCGATATGCAAGCAAAAGTGAGTGTAGATTGATTCTCTTTTATTAAGCCAGGCATTCTCATCTAAAAAATTCTCAGAGATTAAACGAACAATTTTAGTTCAAAACTCTTATCGCGAAATACGACCCGGAGGTCCTCATGGCAGCCAGAGGGCTCACGCAACGTAAGTCTGAATTTTTGACTTGAGGAATCATTTATAATAATAAGAAGTGATAATATTTAAGTTTAGCCATTGTTCAAAAGGAAATGATGGCCAAGGTTCAAGAAGCAATGGCTCAAATGGGTGGCTCGAATGAGACTACAGCTGATGATCAAGGAAACGCAGCCACTGACTACGCTCCAGCGGCTGAGTACTCGACTGACGCGGTATTGAGAAGAGATTTGACTCAGTATTTTTTCTAATAGTAGTGCACCCTAAGCTTTGCCTAAATTTCTCGAAATCTCGAAAACCGCTTATCAAAACCTATCGATGTGGGGTCGGAAAAGGTAGCTGACGATGAGATCTTTTGGGGGATTTGAGTGTTGAGCTTCTGTAAAGACTTGGAAACTAGAAAATAGGCATCAACTCGGCTCGTCGAGGTGCACTACTATTAGAGAAAATACGGTATACTAGTTGCAAACAAGTCTAATAGGTCTATCCAATTTGAATCAAATATCTAGAAAGTACAATGAAATTTCCAGGAGACGCAAGACGACGTCGTCGCCATTCAAGTGAGTGCTTTTTTATAGAATTGTGAAAGTTTTTCAATTTCAATTTTATTACCACTTATCGACTTTATAATTTCAATTCTTTTAGGTTGAGCCACAAACAAAAGCCGAAAAGAAAGCAGCCAAGAAAGCGGCAAAACAAGCAGCAAAGAAGGCAGCTGAAAAAGCGGCAAAGAAAGCGGCGAAGAAAGCGGCGAAGAAAGCAAAGAAACAAGCTGCACAAACGACCGATGAGTCGATTGAATAGGAAATAACTTGGGTTAAATGCTAAAAGGTATAAATGGTTAAAGGTTTTTGTGTTAGGAAAGATAAATCACAAATTAAAACTACAAGCTATTCACACTAGAGTGTGTTCCTATCGGATAATGCGCTTTCTAAAATGAGAAAGCTTTGAGATAGCTATTTGAGAAAGCTATCGTAGTCAAACCGTTAGTTTACATGCAATCATTCCGATTTTGGTATCATTGATTGAGCCTTATAATTCCACATCGAATGATACCAAAATCGGAGTGATTGCATGTAAACTAACGGTTTGACTACGGTAGTTTTCTCAACTAGGTACATTTTAGAAAACGCATTATCCGATAGAAAAACACTCTAATTCACACATCGAAATCCAACAATACGATAGCACCACAGTTAACTTGAGGAGATTATTATGATAAGATAAGTGAAAAGAAAGAAAGAAAGAAAGAAAGAAATAATTAAATGATTAGGATTGAGCATTAGGTGAAAAATCATAATAAGTTTTTCGAAATTCTAAATATCCATATTGTTCAGCGGTGTCTTCGACTAATTTATAAAGAATTTGGCGAATCTCTTGAAAATTCGGTCGTTTCAGCGGCTCAAACTCGTCACAATCTTTGACGAGAGTTTTCCTGAATCAAGAATTTCTCGATCTCTAATCTAATTGGTTAATCTAGAAACTAATCTCCAAGAATATTTCCTACTTACACATTTTCTGAAGTCTCTTCCGGTAATTCTAAACGATTTCCATCTTTCAGATACTGTAGTATTGTGTCTGGATCGACTGTCATGAAAGGAGAGTTCCCAAAAGTGAACAACTCAAATAGAAAAACGCCAAAAGACCAACTGGAACTTGATTTTTGTAAAGGTTTCAACGATTTTCAACTTACACATCAGTTTTCTCACTAAAAACAGCAGTTTCAAGTGATTCAGGAGCCATCCATTTTATCGGCAACTTTCCTCCTCGTGTCGTGTAGAACATTTCACTCGAAAGGCGACAAAGTCCGAAATCGCTTAGCTAAATGGAAAGTTTTAAAGGCTATGAAGATTTTAAAGGCATTCGTTAAGTTTTCACAACTTGTAACTATAATTTTCTAAATCTACAAACCTTTGCTATTATAATTTTACAGATTTAGAAACCTTTGCTACTATAATTATCTAAATCTACAAACCTTTGCTATTATAATTTTACAGATCTAAAAACCTTTGCCATTTTCTCATTTGTTAACAGAACATTTCGAGCAGCGACATCTCGATGAATCATGTTTCTTGAAGAAAGATAGGTCTGAAAGCCGAAAATCTTAACAAAAAAAACCTGATTTTGGTTTGATTTGATGAAAAACTGACTTAGAATCGATTCCATTTTGAGTTAACAAAGTTTTTCAACTTTCAAAAGTACAAACAACTTACCAAAGCATCACAGACTTGCCAGGCCAATGGTATCAAATCACTTTGCACCAATTTATCCTAAAGAAAAAACTCAGTAAAATGCTTTTCAAATACGTTTACCGTAAACGATTGATCTCTTGAATTTCTCAATAAACTCAATAAATCGCCCTTTTCGCATAACTCGGTGACAATGAGAGGAGAACGGAGATCTTTTGAGCAACCCAACATTCCAAGGATGTGTGGGTGAACATCCAATGTTTTCATGAATTCGATTTCTTGTTGAAGATCGCTTCTAGAAGTTTTGATGTAAAGAATGGCTCAATAATCAGTTTGCCAATCAATCAAAACCAAAATTTCCATTTGAAATCAATGCTAAAGCAAAATGATGACGTACTTATCTTTATCAGACGCATGAGGATGAGTCATTTTGATGGCCACAGAATGCTCTGAATCAAGATACAAAGCAGAGATCTGAAATTGTTTTTTTGAAGCTTTTTTGAAGGCGGATTTCATCAAATACTTTCAATCGAGGATAGATTTTCGCTACTGGTGGGACTCCTTTCAGATTTCCTTTGTATACAACAGCATACGCACCAGAGCCCAGTTTGATAGCGGATTTGAAAAGAGAGTCCAACTCTACTTCCCAGGGATCAATCGATTTTGTTGTCCTGAAATTGAAGAGTGTATCGGATTCGACTGAAAATTCTATGATTCTCATTTTTGAGATCCAACCCCGGCTCCATTGTATATGGACGATAATCGTTTTTCCGTGAACCCATCGGCATCATTCTTTCAAAAACATTTGGAGTAGCTCTGAATCTCGTCAGCTCTTTTTCAAATGTGTAATTTAAAGTTAAATCAAATTCCTTATTGCGATTAAATGCTAATTTAATGCGAATGTAAACTCTAGACAAACCCGGCTTGTGCTTGGCTCTCGATATCTTTTTGTACATCTTCGGCTAGACGACCACGCACACGAATCAGATCTTGATATCTGAATATTGATCCCTTAAGCTTGATCCCTTAAGCTTGATCCCTTAAGCTTGATCCCTGAAGCTTGATCCCTTGCTTGATCCCTTGCTTGATCTCTTAAGCTTGATCCCTTAAGCTTGATCCCTGAAACATAATCCCTTAAGCTTGATCCCTTAAGCTTGATCCCTTAAGCTTGATCGCTTCAGTTTGATCCCTTAAGCTTGATCCCTTAAGCTTGATCTTGATACCATTGTCTTCTTGCGTGAATTTCAGAATCATCCTTAATAACTCTATTCTTACAGAAGCAGCTTACATTTTCCGATAAGTTCTTTGCGGACAAAGTCTCATCTTTGCACATCGACACAAGTAGCCGACTAGGGCAAGAACTCCAAAAGCAGCCACTCCAAACCCTAAAATTCTAGCATTGATCATTTACAATATCCTAAAACTTTAGCATGCTTCCAGAATGTAAAAAAAGAAAACTCAGCTTACCTACATAATACCACGGCGATTTTGAGCCGCCTTTGTCCGGTGCTTCAGTAGTTGAGCTTCCTAAATGAAATGAAAATCGTTTCTAAATACTTTTTACCATTGCCTTCAAAAAATGGGGCTTTTTCCTCAACTTCAACACCATCACATTCACCTAAAAGTGAAATTTTTGTATCTTGAATCAAAGATTTCTCGAATCGCTTTATCAGTCTTTTACAGCCACCAGGCAACACCTCAAGAATGGGATTTTTGACTCAAACCTGGCACACAAGTTGTCTCAGCTCCGACTTTCAAAAAAATGAGCAGAAAAATCAATAAAACTTTTTGATCGTTCATGATTTTAAAATGAAATCTGATAAAAGAGAGGAAATCGGGAGCTTTCCCTCAAAGTTTAAGCAGCCTAAATGTTCTTATCAGTTTTTTCACTCCTCATTAATGCCTCTCATTTTGCCACCAAATAACCTCTCGGAAACGGTTTTTTTTCCTCAATCTTTCGTCACCTTTGATGCATTGGTTGAGTCATTAACGATGAGGTTGTAAGAAATGCAAAATTATGGTTTGTGTAAAGAACCAAATGTGTAAAGAAAAGCAACCAAATCTGTGAAGAAAAGGAACCAAATCTCTACCGAAAGGAACCAAATATGTACCGAAAAGGAGCCTATCCCTTACATCTATCAATTTCGGCCATGTTGATCCGGTGGATGGGTGCACGGGCACGAGGCGACCGAGTGCCGAAATTGATCCATTTCCCCGACCAACTCCTTTTGCACACACGCAGCCCCGGTCTGATATTTTTTGACTCGTTGAAACTCTTGCTGGCAGATAAAATGATGGGATTATGTAGAACAAAGGAACTGCTCGGGCTCGGGTTTCGGTGTTCTTTAAACCCAACCTTTTGATAGAACTAGAGATTCTATCAAATTTTAAGGCTAACTAGTAAAAAGTACAATTCTCTCGTGTACAGGATGACCCATAACTATAACAGGTATTGCTGTTACCCATCTTAATGGGTAACAGCGATACCAGGTACCCATCTTAATTGCTTTAATTGTCACCATGTTGAAAACGAAATGAAATAAGCTTATTTTGGTTTGTTTTAGTGAATTCAAAAGCTAAAAAGCCAAAAGCTGAAAGGAAAAAGTAATGATTTGAATTTTATTAACCTTTTCAAAGCACCAATAACTAATTAAAATTATTGAAAAGTTCAGTGCTTTTCGGACAAAAGCCAGCCGGAAGTTACGAAGCTTTTAATAGCCCTAATTTTTCTTATAACCTTTTCTTAACGAGCTAAAATTTGGAATCTAAATGTAAAAGTGTTATAAAAATGAAATGATAACAAACTTTAAGTAATCTGACAGATTTTCGACTTTTTCATGGAGAATTTTTCTCCGTCTAAAGCATAAAACATATCCCATGTACAGTCAACTTTCAATTGCTTGGCTTCAGCATTGAAATGAAAAGTCAGCATGGATGGAGGAGAGCAATTTGCGTCACAAAAGGATTTCCATCGAGAAAATTGAGAAGAAATCTCTAGAGATTATCCATTTCTTGACAACAAGGCTCTTTTCATGAATTGAGTGTCGGTTTTGTTTTGTTTAAATAAATTACTTTGAAATCTAAAATCTTATGCTACAGCTTTGAACCATATGCAAATGTAGTTAAAGCAAAAGAAATTTGAATGAATCATTTCGAAATGATGTTTTATTCTCTAGTTCTGATATAGTGCAGCTTAATTGCTTTAGAATTAGCTTAAGCATTCAACAGCTTTCATTCAAAATATTCATCAGCTTTTGAATTCACTTTTGTTAATTGTATATCTAAAAGTGGATATTATAAGTCTATTTTGTCTCACTCATTGGCCCATCGTTGAAGTCAAGATGGATTTGCCGGCTTTTTATCCATAGAAACCAAGGGATTTTCGATGCAATTTCTATTTTGTAATGAAAGAACTCAATATTCTTGTGAAATGAGAAGATTTGATGCATTTTGACTTTTTTGTTCAAGTGAAGAAAGCCATCTCTTTCTCTTAACTTTTCTTGTCCAGTTAAAGCTCAAAACATTATCTAACTAATTGTCTTAAGCGAAACTTGTCAATAATCTATTTGCCATTTGCTATGCCATTTTACGCACTTTTCAAACTCTATTTTTGTGTCCAATAATCGTTTAGATCATTTAAATAATTTAGATCATTTAAATAATTTAGATCATTTAGATCATTCAGATCATTCAGATCATTTAGATCATTTAGATCATTCAGATCATTTAGATCAGTTCTCCCAATGTACGGTTCAGCGAAGCATGTCACTCAACTACCGAAACAGGTTTTGACATTCATTTAGAACATATTTAAGCAATTTTCAAAGTCTTTCTTATCAATCTTATCAATTAACCCATTTTAAGGACAGTTTCCCGAAAGTGACCAAAGTTGTTCCATTGACCGAGGAACAAAGAGAAGCGATCAAACAAAGTCACAAGAAATTGGCTGAAAGTGCAGCCAAGTATGGCAATGAATTGTTCATTCGGTGAGTTAAGCTTTTTTTCAAAAACTCACTATTAAGCCAAGTATTTTCTCACTATTTTCTCGAATCTACTTTGAAATCACTTGCAAAACCTAAGGGTTTAGTCTGAAAAGGATAGGACTCAATGTGGAAGTGTAAAGAGAGCAGAATTTGATAGTAAATTCATCTCTTTAGCCTCTTTTCTGACTTCCCTGACTACAAGGATATTTGGCCGAGATTTCGCGCCCTACCGGATAGCTCTTTAGTTGGATCGGATCAAATGAGAAGCCATGCAAGTGTGTATATGAAGGGAATTGAGGTCAGTATGTTTTACTATGACATTTCTCTCTAGAAACAATTAAAGAACTAATTTAGTTACGCTTTTCATCAAATAACAATTGCTCATTGTCTTATTTTAAATCTTTTTTGAACCACTTTGAATCACTTTTTAGGAAGATTTAAGCAGAATAATCGTTAAATAATCAAAAAAGAAAAACGCCTTGACAAATTAAGCTGAAATTTTAGTTATAATCGGACCTTTTTATGCTCAATCTTTTGTCTTATGACTTAAAAATAGATTTCTTTTTTGGCTATTTTATCATTGAGGCCTTTTCTGAGTTTGATCCCTCAACTTTTTGCTCTCAAAAAACGAAAACATTTCCAAAAGATCAATAGAAGAAGATCAGTAGAGATCAATAGAGACTTTTAGAAGATCAGTAGAGCTTTTAAATGGTAAAAACCTGTAATAAAGTGAAGAAATAAATGGCAAAGAATTGAACCGGAATTAAACCCTTGAACCTCCTGCTTACCAGACACATGTTCTACCACTGAGCTATTGGCCCTTTCTTTCCCCTAGAAGAAATAGGAAAGACAAGGAAGAAGAAAGAAAGGAAGAAAGAGAGATAGAAAAGACAAGGAAGAAGAAAGAAAGTCAGTAAGAGAGGGAAAGTTAATTGAAGCACTAGTTGTTTCTAAAAAGAGCAAAGAGTTAGCCAGATCAACACAACCTAATAGAAATGGCTAATGAAATGGAAATGGCTGATGATTGAACCAAGTAACTATAGAAAATGGAAAGATTAAGACAATTTCAGACGATTGTTTCGAAAATCGATGATGACGTTGCTTTACAAGAAGTTTTACGGAAAATCGCAAGCAGTCACGTTCGCTTTAACATCACAAAGGCACATGTTGAGGTTGGAAAGTAGATTGGTCTTAAATTTCTTTGATTATAGATAATAGAACTAATGAAATGACATTTTGAACTCATTTAAAGTTAAACTTTCAGCACATGGTCCCCTGTCTTCTCGAGGTGCTCAGATTGTCCAATGGCAGCATCAGTGATGAGGTAAACTGTTGGGTTGGTGAATTGAAAACTGCCGGCTATTGTCATATGTGACAGTTTGAGCACTTTCTTCAAAAGAAACCCATTTTGGTGTCAATGGAAAAGTTGTAGAGAATCAAAAATTAAGCTTATATCCAAATTTTCAGAAAGATTCAAAAACTGGTTTTCAAGAAATGCCAAATTTACGAATTTTCACAAAACTTGCATTTTAAGCGAAACTACTAAGTGTATCTTTTTGGAAATTTAGCTATAAGCCTAATTTTTGATTCTCTACAACTTTTCTATTGACACCAAAATGGGTTTCTTTTGAAGAAAGTGCTCAAATGCACAAACTGGGACATCTCCAGTCCTCCATTTTTGAGTCTCACACTTGTCTCACCAACAGACCAAAATCCTACTAGAATCCAAAATCCGAAAGAGGAATCCGCAAATTGCCTTTAAAATGGGCACAAGTCATCAATAATAATGGAAATTATTTGGAATGAATTGATGGTTTTATGTTGAATAAATTTTAGTTCAAAATCCCGCAGTTTTCAATTCACCAACCCAATAGAATCGCTAATAGCCACGGAAGAAATCTGGTATGCAAATCGGGATTCAAAACTGATTCCTTTATAAGGCTTCTTTCACTGACGGCTAGAGATGAGCAATGAGGCTAGAGATGAGCAATGAGGCTGGAGATGAGAAACCCCCACTATGTTCAAAGTCCGGCAGTTTTTTCACCAACCCAATAGTACAAATTGTTTAAAGCAAGCCGATCATTTTTAAAGTTCTTCCTGAAAAACTAAAACTTACAATAAAATAACAATAAAGAGAAGAATAACGACAAGAAATCTCAATCAATCAAATTTAGCTCATAAAACTTTGGATAAATTCGAAAATCGAATTTAAATGCTTTTTGTACAAGTGAATTTTTGAATTTTCAGACTCGAGCAGCTTGGACGCGACTCTATGACAATTTTGGCGAAATCCTCGCACAACTCAGCAAAGAAAGAGGGATTAAACGCTAAAATCCATTCAATGCAACAAATTTTTGAGCGAAATAAACTTTATAAATTCGAAAAAGATCTTTTCTTTTCTCTAATCCTTGTAGTTGATATCCATATCACCCAATCCACATGGGCGAGTCGTCAAATCACCGCCATATTGGTGGACCAATGGCTTCGTCCAGCCTCCATATGGTGGGTATCTTAAAATGGCGTATGTTCTTCCTAATTTACTAATGCCAAGTTGAACAATGAAAAGTGAAACCCCCACTTGCCAAATCCGGGGTCATTGTTGTAGTTCGGCCACCACAGTGGATATTTCGACATTCCCGTCCAACTGCCCACAATATCTGGCCACGAGTATTGACCTGTATAGACTCCGACTTTGACTCCCTTCTTCTAAAAATTCATCAATTGAACTCTAACTAACTCTCTAACTCCATCAATTGAACTCTTATTCAATAGAAGAGACTCCTTTAGATTTTTTTCATTTCATTTTTCGGATTTGTCAACAACTATCAACTCTCAGATAGCAAAATGCTCAACTCTTTAAAGATTTTCAAAGGCTTTAAATAATAGTTATAGACTTTAAAAAAGCTTAATAACGTTGCTAAAAATGCTAAAAATGGACGTGTACCGGAGACTGATCGGATTTGGTTCATTTGAGGATCTGAAAAATGGGCTGCAAAACTCCAATCAAAGATCTTTTGGTACAGAAATGTAGGTGAGAATTCAGGCTTCAATTCTCTATATAATACCTAGTGTTTTTGAATTGATTGCGGCGTTTGGGATGCAATCTGCTGAAAAGGTGTAACCGTAACATAATGGCCGCAAAGTACAGTGACAACTTTTCAGAAAAGTATCTGGAAAATGTCTAATTTATTTCAAAAGTGTCAAGAGTTATATAGAGAATTGTAGCCCTTAAACTTGGCTACATTTATCTACTAAAAACTACGCGATTGGACTTATACAGCGCATGTAACAAGCGCTTGAATGAGCGCTAGTCGACATCTCAACATCTTTTTTCTCTGCTCCTCCAAAAGGAGCTTTCAACTTAAATTTTGGTCATGTCAGTTCAACCAAAACAGTTAATTGTGATCCTCAATGTTATTAAGTGATGTTAAATGCTATTTGAAGAAAAATTAAAAGGCTTTTCTTAACCATTTTCTATAGAGAAAAGCGGTCAAATGACAGATTCGAGATGTCGACTAGCGCTCATTCAAGCGCTTGTTACATGCGCTGTATAAGTCCAATCGCGTAGTTTTTAGTAGATAAATGTAGCCAAGTTTAAGGGCTACAATTCTCTATATAACTCTTGACACTTTTGAAATAAATTAGACATTTTCCAGATACTTTTCTGAAAAGTTGTCACTGTACTTTGCGGCCATTATGTTACGGTTACACCTTTTCAGCAGATTGCATCCCAAACGCCGCAATCAATTCAAAAACACTAGGTATTATATAGAGAATTGAAGCCTGAATTCTCACCTACATTTCTGTACCAAAAGATCTTTGATTGGAGTTTTGCAGCCCATTTTTCAGATCCTCAAATGAACCAAATCCGATCAGTCTCGTTATACTTTGCTCTGTAGACTAAAAAAGTTTAATGACATTGAAAACCGGATGAAAATCCATTAAAAAGCATTTATTTTTAAGCTCTTGAAAATTTGGGTACTAGCTAGGACACAAAAAAGAATTTTAGAGAAACGTTTGAAAATAGAAGAGCCGGCTCTTCTATTAGAATCTTTTACAGTAATAAGTTTTTCTTACCACAGCCGCATCAGCCATTCCCTGAATGAATTGTTGATTCTTTGTCTTGTCCGATGGCCATGTTCCCTCAACATCCAACCAAAGCATTCCAATCTAAGATTTTGATAAAAATTTGATTTCTGAATTTCTGAACCTTGGCTCCTTTCTCATTGAGTTTATCAATGACAGCCTCGACTTGATTGGCTCCAGGTGGGCAAGAGGATGAGGTGCATGGATAGATGTACCCATCAACGTCGGTGATTCCAGCTGAAAGATACGATAGATTTCTATGAATAGCCAATGATTTATATTGTAGTTTATGAATGGCTTTGAACCCTAAAACTCCGAATCATTCCAGAATTAACGCATCCAGCTCCAACAATATTCCAATATAGTTGAAACTCGCCTGCTCTTGCATTCAAAATGTTCTGGATTCCAGTATCATCATAGTTATTCACCTAAAAGTTTACATAAAACTCGAAAAAAGATCTAGTTTACTTGTCGCCAAACTCTAAACACAAAAAAGCTGTATCCATTATTTTTCAAACAAGTGAAAGTGCTTGTAGAAATGGCTGAAATACTGTCAATGCCCGTCTTGCAAAAAGCGAATCCAAGAAGAGATAAAAGAAGTAAAAACCTTAAAAAGAACTCTGATTATATTATATAAAAATACAAATAAAATACAAAATTATATAAAAATACAAAAATTGCTTACCTCATTGGAAATGTTTGCTTTAGAAATGCTTATCTGTTTTGTGATTTGCCTCAAATTTCTCTCTGAATTCCCCTTTTTATATCAGTCTTTCATCCGGGTGACTGACGCACAAAAAGTACTGCAAAAATCAAAGAATGCTTTAGAAGTTTCACAGAAAAGTTCTTGATGTTTGGAAGTAACTGGATACGTAGCTTTAGTTGTAAAGTTGATTTGGTAAGCTTCTTATCCTACTACTAGAGTTTACTTGACTGAAAGAATTGTAAGAATCAAAGTAAGTTATTTGTTATATCAAAGTTTTTCGCATTTTGCTTTATTTTGATTCATTATATTGAAAATTGACTGTATTTTTATACGTACAAAACTTTCCCAAATAAGATATTCAGCCAAACAACTGAATAGCTTTCAACAGCTTTATATAAAGCGCTTCTCGAAGTTTCCTTTTGCCTTTTTTTGCCTTTTTTTGCCATTTCTTATTGTTAAAATATAAACTACAATACTTTTTTTACTGATAGTGTATTTAAGAATGTCTTATTTGAGAGGAAAACAATCTAGCGACAATGCGGCATAATTTACGGATAGATTAAGCTGAAAATTTGCATACACCGGTTTTCGGGCTTAGAGAATCCGAATCCAGCATTAGTTTTTGACTACAGCAACCCCAAATACTCAAAATAAGAGTGCTCATTTGATTAGAGGAATCCTTAATGTAAAGAAATATTCTTTGCGTGCTTGGTACTCTTCACTCTTCACGCGTTATTTCTTGTTTTGAGATATCTGATCTCACTTGAACTAAAAACACTTTATTCAATAGCCGACTGACTCGGAAACTTTGGGCTCTCACTTGAGCAACTTTCACACAAGATCGACAATTGAATTAAAAGTGACGATAAAAAGAGAAACAATTTCGTCCTAATTAGGCCCATAACTTTCACACAATGAGAGGAAAGCAGAAAGAAAAATGAAAGATAACAAAAAACAAATGAACAACAGTTGCCTTATATAGGCTTTAACACAAGATACTCAGCTAACAAGCTACAAAACAATAAATGATTTGGGGCCCGAAATCGAATGCAGGCGCACCGATTTCCTCAATACTTTTCCAATTTTTAGGCTGTCAGAGTTAGATAACTTTTAGTGGCTATTCGCCACACCTAACTTCGACATGAAAGAAACTTTTTCTTACTTGACTTTCTTGACTTCCTAATTTTCTGGTTTGTATCAAAAGATATAATCTAATAAAAAGCGAATAAAGCTCGCAAAAATGTTGAAAACTAACATGCTATTCATCTTCTCAGAGAGTCATCCCATCAAATTGTTTCGACAAGTAAAACAATTCGAGTACATCAAGTTCTTTAACATAAAACGTGCATGAATGAAAATATTATTTCAAAAGTTTGAAGCTAACTTCTTTGAACCTAATAAGTGTCAGCCATTAGCATGATTCCAATGATATCATTCAATGCAACAACGCTTTGTACAGAACTTGTTTTCCACACGTCTTCTATAAAATATCTTTTTCTCAAAAAAATGAAAGAATCGTTGTTTTTTTGATTTCTCAGGTCTCTAGCCGATTTTGAGGTTTGTTAGATTGATCAGGATAAGGAAGGGAAGAAGGGGAAATGGGGAAATGGGAAGAAGGGGAGATGGGAAGAAGGGAAAATGGGAAGAAGAAAAATTGGCTTGAGTCTATCCTTTATCATTTTGATGAACTGAAATTGGTAAAGGAAAGATTGTTTGGGAAAGAAAAACACTACAAATTCGGTCAATGACTCTCTCATTTTCTTGGTGGATGAGTGCGATAAATAGACGATCGGGTTCTGGGAATCCATCGACCATCTTTTTTTCTACCGTACCTAGGCTGTTTTCGGTTTTTGTTTTGGTGATTGCGGAACTCTTATCTTGTTTAAAAGTTTAAAATGAAATAGTGATAGACATCTAGACATCGGTTATTTGTTTACCTTCTTTCAACTAGCTTCTTTCTTGTCGTTGCAAGACTGTAGGTTCTTAAGATGGGTCTTACTGAGCTCCATAACAATCCCAAATTTTCGATTACTGATACATTCTTGTTAGAAGGACCCTTCTTGATTCATTTATCTCAAAATGTTTACTATATGTTTTTTCGTATCCAAGTACCAAATTTTATCTTATTTCCAGTTTTCAGCTTTGTCAAGCTAAAAGCCCAAGCTAATACTCGTCATTCTTTCAGAAAATGTTGAAACTCGTGTTGTTGATCGTCGCCTGCTTGGCTTATCTATCCACCGCTCAATATTACGGATATGGATATGGATCTCAGCCTTATGGATACAGCAATTACGGATACGGAAATTATGGTTATGGGGGATATGGTGGATACGGCGGTTATGGAGGATACCGACCATACGGAGGAGGATGGGGAGGACGCGGGTAAGTGAAGAAAAAGAACGACCAGTTATGAGTGATTTTATGAGTTATGAGAACGACCAGTTTCAAGTTATGATCACATTTCAGAATGATAAGAGAATAAGAATAAGAATAGGGAAAGCTGAGAGATTTTGCATTCAAAGTTCAGGTAAAAACTCAGTCATCTTCATCCAGTGTCGTTGCTAGACTAGATGAAAAGTTGCTTTGACTTTGACGCCTTGACGCTTTGACGACAAATAGTTTAGCTTCAAGTACAGCTTTAGTAATAGTTTGTTTGTTAGATATGAATATTTTCATGTACTGAACGTGTCTTTTTCTTTAGTTTAAAAGATTTATTTCCCATCGAAAGCTTTAGGCACTGGGAACACTTGAGAGTACGGTAAAAATACTGTAAAGTCTCATCCTATTGTCTAACTACAGTAGGCTTAGGGCTAGGCCTACTGTAGTTAGACAGTAGACAGAGTACAGACTAAACTTGTAACGAAAACATCTATCGATCCTTTTTGCTGTTGCCGTTGGTTTTTGTGTTTTTCTCAGCATCAACACTTTGATTTTGACTGTGTTAACTATCATTTGATGCAGAATAAAATTGCGCGTCGAATGATATTAAAATTAACTCAAAATTTAATATCTAAGCAAAGTTGTTGGCTAAAAACCTAAACCCCGCCCATTATGAGTGGAATTTATCCTTTTACCTCATAACTTTGCGTGGATATTAAATTTTGAGTTAATTTTGATATCATTTGACGTGGAATTTTATTCTGCATCAAATGATAGTCAAAATAGTCAAAATCGAATGGTTGATGCTGAGAAAAACACGAAAAACCAACGGCAACGGCAAAAAGGACCGATAGATGTTTTCGTTAAGTACAGACTACGATTAAGTACTGAGACAAGTGACTGAACTTTACAGTATCTTTCAATAGATGCTTTAATAGACATAGAAATTAGAATATATTCAGAATACCCATATTTTGATATGATTCACTCGTGCATACAACTCAAAACAAAATCAAATTTTCAGTGGAAACGGCGGATTAGCTTTCACAGAGGGATTGATACTTGGAGAGGTGCTTGGAGCGGCAACTGGAAAGAAATAAAGAAAAAGATAGAGATAATTTATGCATATTAAAAACGACGATATCAGAGATGATAAATAAAAGTATAAGAGTATGAAAATCTAAAGCTTTAGAAGCATTTAAAGCACACAAAAGCTATAGTTGTCCCATTCGAATCGATTCCTGTTTCGGCATTTGTTGAAAAGATGAGCCTCGCATCTGGAAATGAGAAAATGAGATAATTTAAATTCTATATTAACTTGAATACTTGCAAGACTTGAAAAACTCTTGAAAAACTAACTCTTGTAAGCGCTGTGCTGAAGCTTTGACTCATCGAGCTGATACTCTCGCGGAAACAGCTCATTCGCAGAGTATAGATGAAGGGATTGGCCACGAATTTGAGAATAACCTAAAAATTGTACATGATAGTTGACTTGAGCTTTACTTAGACAAGAGTCTGAACTTTATTATATCTTTGTACACTCTCGTAGCCAGGAGGTAGCCAGGAGAGGTAGGGACTCCAATATTTTTGTCCCCAAAATTGGCTACGGACCTGTCTTTATACCGTTTTTTTCTCTAATAGTAGTGCACGGCACACAGCCGAGTTGATGCCTATTTTACAGTTTCCAAGTTTTCACAGAAGCTCAACACTCTAATCTCTCATAAGATCTCATCGTCAGCTACATTTTCCGACCCCACATCGATAGGTTCTGATAAGCGGCTTTCGAGATTTCGAGGAATTTAGGCAAAGCTTAGCGCGCACTACTATTATTTCAATATTAGAGAAATATTAGAGAAAATACTGAGTCAAATCTCTTCTGATTACCGCGTCAGTCGAGTACTCAACCGCTGGAGCGTAGTCAGTTTAGGCGTAGTTTAGGGTCATTGTAGTCTACTCTATGCTGAGATGAACAATTCATGGTTCATGTTCTAGAATTATTGAAACTATCATATAAATTATTAAGCCAAGAAAGATGAAACTAAAGAGTTCAACAAACCAAATCAGATTGGAGAAATCCGAGCCAAATTATCCATGTCTTTCCATGCCTGAACGGACATCCTTCTTTGCAGATCTGAAATACGAGAAAGCAATTTGAGAATGAATTCTCGTTTGAAACGAGGAAGTTTTGAGATTTTTATTTTTAGAATCATTTATTCTCATTTATTAGGAAATCAAATATCATTTTCAAATTCTTACCAGCGGTGAATGTATCGAATGAATCCCGTAGCCGACAATGAATGAAATCACAATGACGACGGCCGTGTTGACGAGTTTCGGGAAATTCTCGACACTGCTGAAAAAAAGCATTAAAATGAAAATGATCTATTTGTAACTGAATAAGTAACTAGTAAAGTAAGTAAAGTAACTGAATAAGTAACTGAATCAGTAAAGTAACTGAATCAGTAAAATAACTGAATCAGTCAAATAACTGAATAATTAAAGTAACTATTTAAAAACAAACTCACTTTTCCGTTATTTGCGTCCAATTTTTTGTTTTAATCATCGAATAGGAGCCACGAAGATAACAAACGATTCGAATGTAAAGTGACTAAAAAGTTTATGGCTTTAAAATCTATCAATTTTCTTTAATCTAGATTTAATCTAATATCTAAAACTTGCATTATATGCTAAATTTAGATTTAAACTCACAATTGTAACAATTAAAGGCACCAAAACCAGTCCAGCCACGAAAATTCGATGAGAGAAACGATCACGGAAATGTGAGACGCATTTCTCCGCCAATAAACCATCCTTTGGATCAATTGAATATCTTAAAAACCATAATAATACTTACGGTAAATACTGTAATAGTACCCCACCCCCATAATGACGGTAGCGTTGCGTAGTCTAGCTTTGAACGAGTTTTTCTCGACACTGGTTTATGCTACAATGCGCACTTAGGGGTCAAAAAATAGCCCTCAATTTCAGCTATTTTTTGATACCAAAGGCGCATCTTTTGAAAGTACGGGTGCTTTGAAAAAAATGAAATACTAAAAAACTTTTGCGACTACGCGCCTGTACGATGGGGTGGGGTTCAATTACAGTATTTACGGTATAGATTTTAAAATTATTCAACTAAGACTCACTTGGCAAAGAGAATAATCATTGGAGTGATCCAGAGAAAAATAAAAAGAAAACGGAAATGTTTCCTTCTTACTCCGATCTGAATTTGGTCTTTGAGTAACACTTTTGAAAGTCTAATGAGTAATAAGTAAAGTAATAAGTAATAAGTAACCTACCTTTGTTATAAGTGACCTACCTTTGTTCTCAGTGGCCACATTATTCCAAAATATTGATAAACAGCCAAAGCCAAAAGATGCCATGATGAAGAGATTGTGGCTGACACCTAGAATCAGAGATTTCTTGAGGAATACTCAGAAAATCCTCAAATCTCGTGTCCTGATTTTAGCCTCAAATATCCAATGTTAAAATTTGTTATGTTACGTCGCTTAACTTATCGTATCCTTATTGCTTAATTTAGACCCAATAGCTTTCTCAACTTTACACTCTCTGCTTTTGTTACAAATTTTATCTTTCATTTCTTTTAAACAACTCACTCACTCAATAAATAAAGTTAATGCAAATGAATCCATAAATTTTTTCATTTCCCGGATGAGAATTCCTTGTTTTTCAATCAGTTGGGAACAAAGGGCGCCAAAAACTGCAAGCGGGGTCGAACCCGGGATCCAGAGAGACAGACGATGTCTCTCGGATCGAGAGACAGACGCTCTGGCAATCCAGATTGATGGACAGATTGATGCAGCTGCTTTTCCGCGCCTTTTCCTCTCAAGGGGCTTTCTCTGCTCCTCAAGGATCCTAGAAAGTACTTGTCAACTCATACAAAAGGATTCATTTCTTTGAATTTCGACTACTTTCAAAGAAAAGTCCATCTATTTAGAGTTTGCTTATGTAAGCAAATGGAAAGTCGACAAACAAATGATGATGCAAAGAAAACGTAAAAGGAATACTAATCGAACTCACTCGAAAAATGGAGATTATATGAAAGGGACACGCTGAAAAATTGACGAGTCGATTCAACCGGCTTCGAAAGAAATGATTCGCGAATTGATCTGGCAAATAGTTTAGGGTTAAATTAAGATAAATAAGTTGAATTTTGATGCAATTTTCAATCAAATTAATAGTGAAAATATCTTTTTTTTTGAATAGTTTAACATATTAGTATACTTATGGCTTTTAATCTTAAGCTAAAGAGCTTAAAGCTTAAGCTAACAACTTTTGAACTTTTAATTGGATCTAAATTCTGTTCCTAGTGATTTCAAAAACAAATTTGATGCATTTTTTTTACTAAAACTTGTTTTAAAATCGATGATTTCATCGATTATTCTTATTATTTCATTATTTGACTTACCAATTACAAATATTGTTGAAGCCCAAATATCGATGGCTGCAAGAGACACACACAAAAGAACATAAAGGGAAATAGGACGACGAAGATATCGAGATGAGAGACAGATGATACCATTACCGATTAGAGCTATCTAAAGATCGGAGAAGTAAAGCTGTTTTAGTAAAGCTCTTCTAATAAAGCTCTTCTAGTAAAGCTCTTCTAATAAAGCTCTTCTAGTAAAGCTCTTCTAGTAAAGCTGTTAGCTGATTTTCTAGATTATTTCTACTACATATGAGACTAAAATTTGTCATTTTAACAGCTGTTTAGTAACGGATTTCTGTAGATACAAATGTAGATATATCAAATTGAGCCTAGAGAACAGCTTTCATAGTTATTCTCTTTCATAACTTTCAAATGAAACCACTCACCGCCACCAGTATCAGCTGAACAACCGTCTGCCAAAAAGTAAACTTTCTCAGTAATTCTTTGATCTCTAGCTGACTGGCTGATATCGTTTGATTATATCCCATCAAGTGCAACTTCGCCTCGTTGACATTTTGCTCGGAGGAATGCTGAAAATGTGGAAAATTTTAAGCAAATGAGAGACTTTGGAAATGGGGAAAAGGAGAAAAATGGAGAAGAATGGGGAACCCAATTTGAGGGTCCGTCACTCGAGTAAAAAGATCTCAAAAAGAGCGAATGGGCAATGGGTTTCATTGAGTGAGTTTCTGAATTTATCGCTTCCGGGAAAAGTGAAAATGGCTGGGAAGGGGGGAATTTCACACTGCCTCGTGTTGTCAGTGGAGCCGAATTGAAGCTTTTTCTTTTGAAGTGATCGTTAGGGAATTTGCATCTTCTACGTTGGTAAGAAAGTTCGTAGATAAAGTTTGCACGGTGATTTCTCAAAAACCAAACCATAAATTCTTCCCCAGATTTTTTGATAAACTTGACTATATTTCAGGCTTCAGGTAAAAAAATAAGAGATTTCTACAGTTGAAGTGACTTGGTCACTTTTTGAGTGGCCAGCCTTGAGACAAGTTTTTAATGGGTTAATGAATAGGCAATGGGTCCCATTCAAAACCTAAAATCTTTTTCAAAAATTTGAAGTTTTTGAACTTTAAAATGCAACAAAGAAGATCTCCTGGTTGTTCTCTGTGCGCGAGCACAATCGCGCTAGATCTGGCATATGATGCCTGCTGATATACTCCCTTTTTGGTTTTTGGGATCGGAAGCGTCCATTTTGGGTCATCCGGTAACCAATCCGTTGTCTGCCCCACGTGGTCACCGCTTCCCAAAACTAACCCTGGTTGTAGAACTGGTTAACCCAGTTCCGGCTCATTTTGACCATTATGGCGGGTTCTCTGTCGGTCAAAATGGGATCCCAAGTGCCTGTAAAAGGGTGCTAAAGGGAGCCGCTGTGAATTTTTGGATTCATCCCAAGGATTTCGGTCCGTAGGGGCAGCAAGAAACTCATGAAACAAAACGAGTAAAGGGGCTCAAGCATTGGAAAATACTAGGGATGATGTTGGCCCAGAATCGCCGTTTGTGGGTGGCCTGAAATGGCCTAAAATGAAGCTTTTTCGAAAAACAGAAGCTCTTGAAGCCTAGTGGCTGGAAGATAATTCTTATATTAGTTTATTAGTTCTTATATTAGAGAAAGAAAGTTCGTAGAAAAAGTTTGCACGGTGATTTCTCAAAAACCAAGCCATTAATTCTTCCCAGATTTTTTGATAAACTATATTTCAAAAAAGGTTTTTGACAAAAAAATTAGAGTTGGCTTCAGGTAAAGAAAATCAGAGATTTCTACAGTTGAAGTGACTTGGTCACTTTTTGAGTGACTAGCCTTGAGACAAGTTTTTAATGGGTTAATGAATAGGCAATGGGTCCCATTCAAAACCTAAAATCAAGTACTTAAAATAGGGAAAATTTGTGATTAAGGGAAATTTGATCTAATGCTTTAAATTTTTAGAATAACCAATTTTAGCAAACACTCAGTGTCAAGAAGATGACATAAAAAAATTATTTTTTAAAATACAGCTTCCCTGTCAAACAAATTATTGACTAAAAATAAGATTATAGAGATTATATTGTTCATTGCTTATTTATGTTAGCTTTACTTCATAAGGAATCCTTTTTTCTGCTTTTTCTGCTCCTTTTTCTGCTGCAAAAAGTGAGCTGAATTTAAGCTGGAAAATAATACTTTTCTTCAAAAATCTCTTAAATTTTATGAGAAAGCTGCACTCATTTTTTTACGAGTAATTTCTTGGGGTCGATTTGTAAAGAATAGAACAAAATGTTCTTGAATTGGTGGATTCGTTTTGAAGCAATTTCAGTCAAACTTTTTCCGAGAATTATGATAATCTTCTGGAAATCTTTGGTTGTTGGTTCTAGAAACATCTAAAACATTGATATTCTAATGTAAGTCTCAGATCTTTAACTTTCTTTCCAACCTAACATTTCCCCAGTCACTTGTGATAAGTTTCACAAGTGTCTAAAACTATTATATTCTTAGAATTGATTAATAAACTTTGACTAACAGTAGCTGAAAGTCTTAAGACTAGCAATGTCAAGACAAACTTTGAATAACAGTAACTAAAAGTATGGGAGGTAGTCAAATGAGCGCCAACAATTGGGCGCCAATCATTTCAGCGCCAACGATTTGGCTCACGCTTATTTCAGCGCCACTCATTTGAGCGCCGTGCCAAAAATGACTGGAAAACAATCATTTGAGCGCCAAATTAAAAAGGCCTAAAAACGTTCATTTAAGCGCCGGGCCAAAAATGACTGGAAAACGTTCATTTCAGCGCGACTAAATTTTAATATTTTTGCTTTCTACGCTGCTTTTGCATGTTTTTTAGGGTTTTGCTTCTGTTTTTACACTTTTTTTCACTCATTTGACCTAGGGCACGGTAGTAGGCATCAAATGCGCGGAAAAAATTGTTAGATTAGCTCGTATTTAAGGTTTTTTTGATGAAAATGTGTAAATTTGCTAGTTGTATGATATTTTCCCCCAATAGCATGCTTTTTCACCGTTTCTTGCCGTTTTCGTTTACAATTTGCTTACAGTTAACATAGTTCTTTGCTTAGGCTCGTGAACTGCGCAAGAAGTGGCGAGACAAAGGAACACTCTGAGTTCAAAGTAACGTTTTGTTCATGATTTATTTTGGTTTATTTTGCTGCCAAGAATTATTTTTATCTTTAGATGATTTAGATAAAAACATACAGTAAAAACTTTGAGATCATGCAGAAAATGCAAAAATAACATGCATATACAGAATGGGCTGATTCGGCGCTGAAATGAATGTTTTCCAGTCATTTTTGGTGCGGCGCTGAAATGAACGCGCGCTGAAATGAACGCGCGCTAAAATGATTGGCGCTGAAATGATTGGCGCTGAAATGATTGGCGCTCAATTTTTGGCGCTCATTTGACTACCTCCCAAAAGTATTAAGACTAGCAATGCCAAGACAAACTTTGAATAACAGTCGTCAAATCCAGACTTACAGTTAAAAGTTAAAAGACACCAGTTAAAAGCTCAAATATTATACAAGCTAATTGTAAGGAAAACTGAAAATCTAGAAAAATTGTTTTAGATTTCGAGAATTGAAAGAGCTAGGAGCAGAAAAGAGGCATATAATTGGAGTTCGGGCTTTTTTTTCTGTCTGAAAGAGATGGAAATGGGGTGGGGTGTGCATTTTGATACATCCAACACCTTTGGACACTCGAAAGGACTCGTTTTAGCATTCAAAGTCTTTATGCATATTCTTGCATCACAGAGAAAAATGTGTATTTTTAGGTTTTGTGAGATGAGGCCAATTATAAGGGCTGACCATGGGACCTGACGAAAAGAGATGTCTACTTTTTTTTGCTCAAAGCAAAAATTGCAAACAAAGTCAGTGAATTGGGGAATGATCTATCGGTCTGCATTAGGCAACTCCAATTTGACTATTATACGGCTTTTTCATTAGTGTTTTTCTTGTAACATTAGCGCTGGTTTTGAATGGTTTTGAATGGAACGGAAATGGTTTTGAATGGTTTTGAATGGAATGGTAATGGCTTTGAATGGTTTTGAATGGAATGGTAATGATTTTGAATGGTTTTGAATGGAACGGGAATTGTTTTGAGCTTTGATCTACTAAATATAAAGGTCCGCTGGTTTTTGAAACAACTAAAAACACTTACAAGGACACTCTCGAAGAATCTAGCCAATTGTGTGAGTTCATCTTCCGTTGATACACTCTCCTCATGCACCATCATCGAATCTTTGGCCTCTTTCTCTGAAACTTTTCCTTTACGAACGCTAATTAATATTTGCTTGACACGAGAGTGAAAAAAATGAAAGAAAAAATGAAATAAAAAACGAATGAAAAGCATTCACTGAGCAGCGATCATTTAAATTTGTTAACGAAAAGAAAAGGAATAAAAAAGGAAAAGAAAACGTGAACGGAAACTTGTCGTAATTATCTTTTCAGCTGTTTCCAAGAGACACTGAACTTGATTTATAAAAAAGATTTGTGAAAATGTGAAAACTTTATCGTTGATTGAGAGAAAAAGTTGAGAAGTAGTGTTTTGGTTTGAATTTTTTGTGAAACAATGGTTAAATCCCAGGCAAGTACAGCTATTTTGTTGAAAGATGGGAAAATTCTACAACGGGATTATATAGAAAGTATGCCAAGCAAATACTCATCAAACTGGTTAGTCATAAAGGCAAAAGATACGCACAAAATGCTCTACTAAAGATCTAATCTGCTCTACGATACTCACAATCAGTTTGTACAATTTTGTAAGCTCAATTTTCATCATTTACTTTGAGCTCTGAGACTTACATTAGAATATCAGTGTTTTAGATGTTTCTAGAATCAACAACCAAAGATTTCAACCACAATTTTCAACAGCAAAAGATTTCCAGAAGATTATCATAATTTCAAAACAAAGAAGAAAGGAAAAGTCGAAACAAGATGACGTATTCCGATGCTTGAATCATAAAAACTCATTTTCATTTATGAAAGTGACATTTCGGATTTGTTTTACTTTGGTTTTTTGCTAGTTTGAAACAGAAACTGACCTTCCATCTTCATTTTTCTTCTTTATTTTCCCTTCTTTTCAAAACCCAAGCCTAAATGCAATTTCCTCTGCATTCACACATGAGCCCCAGCAAAAGGAAAGAAATATCTCAGAAAAGGAGAATAACGGAATGAACGGCTTATCAATCTTTTGTTTAGTACAACAAGCTATGTACAACATTAGATTTATGTTAGAACTAAACAATTTGTATTCTTTAAAGTGTAGTTTGTGCTTAAAAGTAAACAAACCAGCAAACAAACAACAAACAAACAAACAAACCCTTTCTAGCGCTTTCTATTTTCATCTTTACGGATTCAAAGTACTTTTTAGCTTTTTTATAACTCACCAAAGATCATTTATTTGCAAAGAAAGTACTTAGAAACCGGAAATTGATTAAAAATTACAGCTTTCAATTCGTTTTCTTCAATAATTCTTCGAAAAATCACTTTTTTTTTGTTTAAAAATGTTCCGAACATGATAATTTGAAGAATTTTGAAGGGAAAATAATGAAAATTGCTATCAAGATAGCTAAAAATGGGGTGGAAATTGCAAAATTTTTGTTGGAGGAATTGGAAAATGAGGAAGAGAGGAAATTAAGATTAAAATATCCATCAATGATCATCATCAAAGAAGAGACAAAGAAGAGACAAAGAAGAGAGAAAAGAAGAGACTCAATTACGGAAACAATGAACAATTCAAGTCTATTTTGGAACTTAAAACGTTTTTTTTAGTTTTGTTTCAAAGTTTATTCCTTGAACTTGGTTTTGAGCTGTTAATGAAGAATTAATGAAGAAATAAGAATAATAATCAGAATTAAGAATATTTTGTTGAATCAGAATTAAGAATTCTATTGAATGAGCTGGGTTTTGAAACCCCAGAGTGACCTAGTACACTTCACTAGTAAGAAAAATGTCCAATCAAAATCAGTAAGCCTACGAAATACTCAAATTTCAAATTTCAGTTAGCAGAACAGTATGAGAAAGCGGTAGAAGCTGCAGAGAATGAAGGCAATGGAAATGAGGAGAAAACAAAGGATACAAAGAAAAATTTTGATCTTTCGAATCAGAAGAATCAGATAGAATAGTTTTTGATGTCATTTTTGATCTTCTTAACAAACTTTCTCAAGAATCTTATTTTCTAGACTTGTAGCAGGTGTTCTGGAAACTGTTTTTTTGATAATATTCTTTTGTTACGTAGACAGGTGATTTTAAAAGATAATTACCGATCCTACACAAGAGAAAACCCTAGAATTTTATGAGGAAATCACCTGGTATCTAACGTAGCAACTTGAAAACTTCAGCAACGTGACTGTCTAAGGATTATGAATAAAAGGAACAGAACAACCAGTAAAAAAATAGAATGGAGTCTAAATTGAAGTCTAAATTGAAGTAGTAGGGCTAAACAAAGCTATGCCTGGGAAAGTGTTCCCTTTTCAAGTCAAAAAGTGTCAAAAACTCACTTGAGAAAAGACTTTTTAGAGGATTTGCGGGACTCACTAATGCTTGCTGTTCCTCCTTGAAAAGTGAAACCGAAAATATGGGAAAAATTTGGCTTCATATTCTTTTCAAATGATTCTAAATTCTAAATTCTAAATTTTCGATCTGCATAGTAAATCCTTTAATCTCAAAGATCGTATTTGAGTAAAAGGGCAAACGAGTTGAAGAGATTCAGACTTGAAAGCGATTCTAATTTTAAAGCTATCAAGTTAGACTTGATTCAGGGATTCAGACTTGAAAGTTATTCTAATTTTAAAGCTATCAAATTACCACTAAAACTAGATCCAATATTCAACCCAAAAACACTAAGAAAATAGCTTTTATAGCTATTCAATTAGGTATTATAGAAGAGCCAGCACAGAAATTCGACCAATTCCAGACAGCGGCTCCTTTTTTGAACGGAAAATAAGGGAAAAACATTACTTTTTAAGTCTAAAAACTAAAAACTGATAGCAGTAGGAACTTTTCAAAAAAAAAACACAAAAAGTTTTCCGTTTGGTGGCTAAAAAGTAAAGCTAAGAAGGCTGAGAAGCTACGATTTACTACTGATAATTTTAAGCCTTTTTTTTGCGTTTACCAAGTCAAAAATCGACGCGGAAATTCACAGATTAAAAGGTGAAAAAGAGCTTTTTTTTTACAAACGCTTTCTTTCTGGCTTACTATTTGGGTACTTAAACTAACTCTAGATGCACTGGCTTCAGTGCATTTATAGATCTCTTTCAAATCGTAATCCTTTCAATTTTTCCTGGATACTAAATTCTTTGGAAATTGAAATCTCAGAAATCATGATAACAAATTGAAATAGAGAAAAATGAAGACTCGGAGAGGATTAGCTCGTAAGAATGGAAAGGTAAGAGTTGCAAAAAAGGAAAAAGAACAATCACATTTGTTTTGACGATATTGCGAAGATCAACACAGCTGAAAAATGTTCTTTTTTTTCCTCAAAAACAACAAAAATAATGAAAGCTAGATCAAAAATGACTTTGGAATAGAGCCTTTATGGATAAAGATGAATTTTATACTTTGAAAAATGAAAAAAAACATCGGTTGGACTCTGAGATTCGAACGCAAACTTCTCAAAAAAGAAGCTAAAGTGAAAATCTTATTTTGTTCAAGCCTTTCACTCTTTTTTGAACTCCCGGGGGGCTTTTTTGAAGAAAAGATGTCACATGGCTTAGGAATAAAAAAAGAAAAGAAAAAAAACTGATATATCACTGGTGGAGAGTTGAAAAAGGTATGCTGGAGAAAAATTGGGCTCAGTAATCCTCAGAAAGTCGATAGATTGAAAGAGCGGTGTTCTGAGTTGTTGAATGAACTTTTGAAAGTTCTTTAATAAAGCCGTGAACTACAAGAGCTGTTTGACAAGTTCGTTAATTCTGTTTTCCAGTGACGCTCGACCATTCTTTGATGGAAGGGCCACTCTCAAAGTGGACAAATGTCGTTCAGGGATGGCAATACAGGTGAATTTTGGTTATTCAATTGTTAGAAGGGGTTACTTTTGGTTCTTGGCCGGATCTTATGCTTAACTTTACAGTTATGATGCATTAAGTAGTCTTTTAAATTGTTTAAAATTGTTTAAAATAGTTTTAAAATAGTTTAAAAATTGCTACTTCTTCAAAAAACGAATTGTCAATTAGGTTGAAGAAGGAAAAAGAACTTGTTACAAAGCTTTTTTCTTGGTTTGACGAAGTGGCCCAGTTCTTTGCCTTGTTCTTTGCCCAAAAAAAGAAAAATAGAAAAACTTGTGTATCTCCGTGACCCTTTGGAGACTTGTTTCCCTCTTTCGAACAAATAAAATTAAAGCCTCATCAGTCAAAATGAAAATTCACATGTTTTCCTGGACTTTGAAAGTTTTAAGAACGAAATTTTTTGAAGAGAAAGAGATTTTTAGCTGATAGACTGAACGTTTTGTTTGTTTATGTTGAAACGATCCGTTCGAGAAGATCAAATTGTCACAAACTTTTGCAGTGTCGATGACCTAGCGCTGATAATGTATGTAGGAGATCTGGAAATACTCTTTGAAGTATTTATTGTACAATATTGTTGTACAAAAGTACAATATTTTCCTCTAAACTTAATCATTAGAGTGTTAAAATAGTAAAGATTTAGATGACGCAAATGTGTGCTGTTGTACAAGCCATGGACAAACGGATTTACCTCATCAATTCCCATTTCGAATGTCTGTAAATGTATCTAGACTTCTTGTTTCATAACTTTTTATCTTAACAGCTAAAAATCTTTTCAAATCGATTTATTCTGGAAAGAAATGACTAGTCATAAAGGCAAAAGATATATGTAGCAAAAGAGGCAAAAGATATCAAAAGATACGCACAATCTGCTCTACTAAAGGCAAACGATACTCACAATCAGATTGTACAACCTTTTTCTCAATTTTCAAGCTCAATTTTCATCATTTAGCTTGAGATCTGAGACTTACATTAGAATATCAATGTTTTAGATGTTTCTAGAACCAACAACCAAAGCTTTCAACTACAACAACAGTTTCAACCACAATAATGTATGTAGGAGATCTGGAAATACTCTTTGAAGTATTTATTTTCCTCTAAACTTAAACATTAGAGTGTTAAAATGGTAAAGATTTAAATGACGCGAATGTGTGCTGTTGTCCAAGCCATGGACAAACTGATTTACCTCATCAATTCCCATTTCGAATGCCTGTAAATGTATCAAGACTTTTTGTGGCATAACTTTTTATCTTAACAGCTAAAAATTTTTTCGAAATCATTCTGGAAAGAAATGCTCAAAAATTGCAAAGAAAAACGTCCTTGAGAGAAAAACTCGATCAAATCAAATGAAAAAAGATTTGCGTGGGTGGGAACCTTGACTAGTTTTTCATTTTGATCCCTTGATAGTCAGTTTGAGTCAGTTTGAGTCAGTTTGATATCTTTGATATTGATATAGTTTAATATTTGATTTGATTTTAGTTTAATCCTTGCTAAAGTAGCCTTTAAAGTAGCAATCCTTGCTAAATTATTCTTTAAATTCAGAAATGCGGCTACTGTATTTGGCCTTATTTGTCTCGGTGCTTGTATTGATGTTGGAAGCAGCAAGACCACTTCGAGGGCCAAGAGGAAGATTGAGATTGAGAGGTGGAAGAAAAGGAGGAAGAGGAAGAGGGAAAGTGGTACGAGCACGTCCGCCTGGAGTCCGGAGAGGAAGAGGGAAAGGGGCAAGGCTGCACGAGAGAGGCTTCAGAAAGGTTCGTTCAAGTTCAAGAGATTTATATGCTATTAGGTTGATGCAAAAGTCTTTTTCATTTTTTTCGTACTTCCGTTAAAAAGTAACAAATGCACCAATTGAACAACGGTTTATTGCATTCGAAAGGCCAATTATTTTTCTGCAAAATGACATTAAAACGAGTTTAAAATGTCTTATGTCTAGATTTTTTGAGAGCCTGAAGTCGGGTAGTCAAAAAAGGCGACGGCTCGATGATGCATTTTAGACGCTTTAGCTAAGGAAACCAATCTTGATGTTAATAAATAAAAGATAGAGCACAAAAAGTTAGATATTTTTTCAGATTTTCAGAGAAATTGATTCAGCCAATTTCTTTATAGAGGTTTTTATAGATTTTTATGAAAAACCCGTTTTCACTCTCGAATTTGCTTGAAAGTGAACCCAAATTGATTTAAAAAGATGGGAAATTGAACAATAAACACTTTTCATTTAGAGCAAACCATAGGTTAATTGATGACTTTGTTATTTTTCAAAAGAAGTACGAAAAAAATGAAAAAGACTTTTGCATCAACCTAATAGATTGGAATTCATAGGAAGGATATACTTGCTTAGTAACTTTAAAAGGTTCAGGTTCACGTTCAGGGTTGTTCCTACAGCAAAATTTCAGGCCAGGCAAGGCCAGGCCAAAGCCAAGCCATAAACAATATGGCCTGGCTGAGCCTGGCCTTCAAAAGCCATGGCTTTTTTTGACCTTTGCTTTTGACCAGAAGAACTAGTTCAGTTCTAACGTTTTAGAGAAAATATTTGTCGATTTAGAGAAAAGTTGACAACCGAAAGGGTCGTTTCAAAGATTTCCGAAAAGTTCCGAAACAAATCCGTGACGAACTCGGTGATGATGTTCATGACTTTGAGAATTTTGGGATCAGGTATAAAGTTAAGAATCGTGTATGAAAATCACTTAAGATTTAAATCACTTAAGATTCCGGAAGAATTGGGACGAGAGAAAGTTGGCTGTTAGAGCAAAAAGATTCAAATTGAACAACCAGCGATTGAAGAGGAGAAAAGCCGAGTTCGCGAAGAGGATTGGGAGGAAGAGGGCAATGTTCAAATTGGGACAACATCCATATATGCATTTGGATGATAACGAGTTCAAGGGGGTGAGTTGATGAACTATTTAGTCTATGAAAACTAACAACAAGTCTAAAAGCAATAAACTTTCTGCAGATGCTTGAGCCTCTCGATCTAAAACCTGAACGGCAACACTTCTTCAAACAGATGAGACGGGGTGGACGAAGAAATCGACAAAGAAATCGACAAAGAATTAAAAGGGTATGTCAAGAATTGTGCTATTGCAAGATTTAGTAGTTTCTAATCTAATTTCTAATTAAACTAAGCTATTTTCAGGAAGACAACACTGTCACAGAGCTTCCGAAAGAGTTCAGTTGGGTTGAGAAAGGAATGGTGAGTCAGAAATGGTCAAAGAATCACTAAAAATTGATCTCAACCTTATTCCAACTGTATGTAACTTATCTAATTGAATGTAAATGTCATTTCTGAATCTAATTTAGACAACCGACGTGCGCACTCAATCAACTTGTTCATCTTGTTGGACTTTTGCGTAAGTTTGAGATAAACTGGTCAACTTTTAGTTGTAACTGGTCAGTTATTGAAAATTCAATAGTTATTGAATCAGTTATTGATTAGTTATCGAAAATTCAATAGATATTCCTTTCATATATTATTTTATTGTAAACTTTAGAACTAGCGCTGTCGTCGAGACAGCTTACGCAGTGAAAAACGGTGGAGAAAAGCTCGATCTCTCAGAACAGGTAAGGAAAATGAGAAATGGACTTAAGATGTTATACTAAAATCTTTTAGCAATTGAACTGTGTCTACAGTCAGTCAATTTGTAAATCTGGTTGGCCAGAGGGTGGATTGAATTACGCGAAATCACACGGATTAGTCTACGAAGCTGACGTTCCGTATGATATCGATAACAACAATGGAAGCTGTTTAGAAGTCGAATCGAAATCTTTGATCAAAAATCTTCTCAATTTTAGGCTAAACCACAAGTGAAAGTGAAAGAATTCTACTCATTGATCCCATTCGATATGAATGAAGTGAAGACTGAGGTCATGAATAGTGGACCGGTGGCATTTGGTGAGTGGGCATGATTAGGAGAGATCAAAAACTCAGCTAAATGTTTGTTAATCAATGGTGAACAAAGCTTGGCTCTAGGTGTCACTTGCAATTGATTAAATTCTTGCCTTGGCTGAAAACTTGATCAATTTTATCTTACTAGGTTAGCAAGAAAAAATTGACCATTTTTCGTTAGTTGCTGAAGTGAACCAAGCTCTTTGCCTAAAAATTCCGATAAAGCTATTCAGTTTAGGCTAAACTGTGGATAAGTTACCGTAGTCTGTACTAGTTTTTTGTGGCAATATAAACCGCTTTTTTTATAATTTTCCCTCTTCTTCTTTAGCTTTTTGTGAGAATTTTTGCTAGATTTTTGTCTATAATTTATTGGTCTATAATTTCTTTTGACACTTAGCTCGTGCCATAAATTGAATTCTGTCAAAAGCTTGGTTCTTTTTCTGAAAGCTTTAAAATTGCACAGAAAGTATCCTCGAATCGCGACAAACTACAATTCAGGCATGTATCTGACCGAGGATTTCCCAATGTATGGAACGGGTGTCTACACAGAGCCTTGTAGTCCGGATAAAACCGTGCTTGGCGGGCACGCAATGGTCATCGTCGGATGGGGTAGAAATTGTAGAAAAAAAGGATTTCATCGTAAATTTTAGGAGAAGAGCTGAACGCTGAAACCAACGAAACAGTTCCCTATTGGGTTGTGCGAAATTCGTGGGGTGATGGATGGGGAGAAGATGGACATATTAGAGTGAGAGAGATCGATAGACGGTTACCATAATCATTTTCGATTCTAAAAGCCAACATTGAGACAATTTGTGGCAAAATCTGCGGCAAATTTAAAAAACAGCTTCAAATTTGCATTAAGAATTGCATTTTTAAGGGTTAAAAGCGAAAATTTGGCTTAAATTTCGCAAATTTTGTTAGCAAATTCGCGACGCAAATACAGTCGCGTGGTCGTTAACTGTTTCACTGATAATTTGGTGTAAATTCAAAGATAAACTAAACTATTATAGGCATTCGATAGCTCTGAATCTCCTCTTGAAAACTAGTACAATGTTATCGAGTAGAAAGTCTTTAAAAAGACACATTTCTTTAGATTCAAGCTGGTGTTGATCTCTGCAAAATGGAATCCAGATATTTATGGTCGGCTGAGTTGACCGATGATAAAGTCGAGGATCGACAAGAGGACAATGTAGCGGATCCGGAAAATGAAAAAGATGATCTAGCGGTGGAGATTCCATTGAATGAAGAGGACGAGGAAGTTGATGATGAAGAAACAACAACAGTTTGATCATAAACGCCCACCAATTGTAATAAACTTTTATTTTGAAAAAGTCTGCCTAGAAACAGATCAAAATAAACCAAAATAAACAACAGCAATCGATTGCCCGACCCTCGGGTACCAAATTTACAGCTGAATATCTTTTTTTGCACCACCAAGAAAGTAAAAGAAAAATCCTATCAAATGTCCTTTGTGCGGCCGCGTAATCGCTCTCCATCTGGCAAATGCCCCTGATAGATAGGTGTTCCCTTTGGGTTTGGTCAAGGAAAAGGAATGGTGGTGCGCGGGTCGAATTTTGGAAATCAAATCAAATGCTTGACTTGAGTTCAATTTTTGGCTGAAATCTTTCTGTATATCTCTATAAGTTGTAAAACCTTTTCTAAAACCAGTCTACACACTCAAAAACCGGTTATGAAGATGATAGTTTGTTGTTTGAAGATGATTGTTTTGAGATTTGTGTCATTTCAAACTTAACTAGATAACTGAAAACAGCTATTATTTGTTTTTGATAAACTGAAATGAGATTTTATTCAAAATTCAGGTAAATACTTAAAGAGAAAGCGACTGAGCAAGATAAAGCGTCATCGACTGAGCGAGAGGAAGCGACTGAGAGAGAGAAAGCGTCAGCGACTGAGCGAGAGGAAGCGTTAGCGACAAAGCGAGAGGAAGCGTCAGCGACTGAGCCGTCTTTTGCTAGGACGTCACTATACTCAAATTTTCTGGGGTCAATTTTTACCCCAAATTTATCTGAATTTTTGTGATCCAAATCCCGAATAAAATAGGGATTCCATACTCCCGACTATCATCGTTTCCATGCTGTGCATTGTCTGCATTGAGTTCATATTCATGCAATATCTATCGCTCACACTTTATTTAAACGTAAAATTCATAACTTGTTGGTTAACTGTCTTAACTTCATAACTGTCAAACAGAGCTGATGATTTTTAATATGATTTCCTTGTTTTATGTGTTACAGTTAGCTTTTACTCAAAACTTACTTTACTCAACTTCTACTCAACTACAAAACTGTAAAAACCAGTCAGAACTTTTGCTGGTATTTGGACAAAAGCAAATGACTTAAAAAGCAAATGACTGAGTGAAAGTAGCGCTCTGAAATGGTCAATCCTCGAACTCTCTTCATTCAATCGACTGTGTAAGTCAAAGGGTTGAGCTGAAAGAGAAAGAGACGAATATCCGACTGCAATTACAACAAGTTTCTTTTTTTTTGTGTGTCAGGAGATCTTTTGTATTCATTTCAAGACATGAAGAAGGGATTCGAATTCTTCTTTTTCTTATGAAAACCTTAATCATTCTTTATTTTTGATGTTTACTCGTTGAAGCAATTGCTTTATTGAACTGAATCAATGAACAAAATATGACAGCTAAAGCTCGTTTTGCTTGCGAACTCACTCGCAAAGATCCTTGGCTGCCTGTTGTCCCAATTGATCTAATCTATGTCCCAATAGATTCGATTTTAGTTCTTTTCTAGAAGCTCTAGAATTTTTGCGATTTCATTTGTTCAAAAAGAACTTTTTAATTGATAATGAGAGATTTTTGAGTTTAAAAATCTGAAATCTAAATATTTCTGATTCCAGAACTAATCATTGACTATGATTGAATCGTTTTTTGACTTTATTTTATTAGCTATTATATTTTTGAGTTTAGAATCTAGCGGATGGTCTTTTAAAGCTTAACCATTCTTTTTGCTAAACGTAACACTAGTTCTTTTCAAAGTGGTGGGTGTTTAAAGAGCTCTAGCATTGAGGGAGACGGCTTATCGGGGAAATCGCTCCTCTTTCTTCACTTTTTCACTCCAAAAATTATTACTCACAATCAGCAAAAAAGGGGAAGATTTCAGTCAATAATGGCTTGCTTGCTTGCTTGTTTCGTCTTCAAAAATTTCTTTTCTTAACGAATTTCCTTTGATTTCCTTTGATTTCCTTTAATTTCTTCAAATTTCATCATTTTTCAGGGTTTGCCTTTTTTGATTCTAGACTATTCACTCAAAATGCGACTATTTACGAGTTTATTGTTTGGATCGATAATTGGAGGTGAGTCTAAATTGATCACTTGATGGCTTAGTGCTTCAACTTATTGCAATTCCATTTTAGTATCATTTTCATTGGACTGTTTCCATTGCAAGGATTGTGATCGAGAGACAGCGCTCGTCAAAGAATGTCACTCATCCACTTCACAATGCTACAGTATTTTAGGACCAAGTTAGTTTAATATGCTGGTAAAGAATATGTTATGTTATGAATAACAAATTTTTTTTAAAACAAATCCGATTCAGTAACGCGTCGGGGTTGTGCCCACAAATGCCCATACAATTCGGCAATTTCCGAAGAGGAATGCCATTTGTGCAGTGATGATTTGTGCAATCATCATCAACAAGGTTTTAAAGTCATCATTTTATTATATATTTTTGATTTTTAGGTCACTTTTTGCAGAAATCCATCAATCATCGGGGAAATCGACATCGTAGAGGTGAGAACTTGAGAGTTATGGACTAGATTTCTCTCGAAAACAATCACAATTCATTTCAGAATTTGAATTGGTTGAACTGTGCTTGATGTTAATGTTTTTCTTCTCAAAAGAGATTGTTTTAGTCAAAAGAGTTTTAGTTTAAAGATCTATTTAATCTAACCTTGACAAAATTTGATTTATTGTAGATGAAGCTGGAAGAAAAGTCGTTGCTTCCACTCACTATCATCAAGATGGGACAAAAATCGAACGCTACGAGGATCCAAATCTCTCAATTCCTTCACTTCCTCAACCACAACTCCCAGAGCTCCCATCCGCTGATGAAACTGAGAATGTGAGTAGGAAATATGTCAAGTATTCTGTCAAGTATTTATTGAATACAAGTAGATTATTCAAATGAACGCAGACGATCCGCTTTTTGGAAAAGTAGACGCTAATGGAGTCGCCTATTTGCCTGTTGATCCGAAAACGAAGGAAGTGCTTCCTGGTAAAAATTTGGCTTGGCTTTAAGTCGAAAACTTTACAGAATATCGACATTTATTGGAACAATATGAGAAGAAAGAGAATGATGGACTGCCAAACACTTTGAATGTCGAAGAGACGGAGATTCAAGCGGATAATGGAGATAAAATCTTCGAGGTTAGTACTGAAGAAGAAATCTGATACGCTTTTCAGGTGAAAACCGATAATGTTGTCTATCCACCGGGGACCGATAAAGAGGTTGGACTAACAGATTTTCAATCAATTCATTAACAATTAGGATGTCGTTGACGAGGGGCAAATTCTTGGAGCTGGAATCGGAATGGCCCTTTCAAAGGTGATCGATTATTCTTAAGTGTTAAAAAGATATTCAGGATGATGACGAAAATGAAAGCTTTCAACCACCGGCTTTGCCAGTCATTCCAGAAGGACAAATGGCTGAAGAAGATGCGATGAAAGTTTGTGATTGATTAATTGAATAATTTGCATAGTAACCGTTTCTATACACTCTTAAGCCAAGTTTAAGTGTGGGTTTGGACGACAGGCGTGGTGTATTGGATAGCGTGGTTGCAAACAGGGATTTGCAAACAGGGTTTGAATCCCCCAGTCGACAAACTTTTGTTTTTTCCAATGATATTTTGATTTTCAGAAACTCTTATTCAGGTTTTGATTACAGATTCGGATTCTCCATTTGATTTTCTATTGAATGGGCTGGGTTTTGAAACCCCAGAGTGACCTAGTACTAGTAAGATCACTAGTAAGATCAATGTCCAATCAAAATCACTAATCCTACGAAACACTCAAATTTCGAATTTCAGTTAGCAGATCAGTATGAGAAAGCGGCAGAAGCTGCAGAGAATGAAGGCAATGGAAATGAGGAGAAAACAAAGGATATCAACGAGGAACAAAAACCCGATATTGGGCATGGAGGTAGGGAGGTAAAAAGGCGACATCAAGAGTTGCATAATTGGCTAATTTATCGAAGAATGTGCCGAGTTTTGTTTCTTTTTGAATTTCGAAATTCAAAGTGACTTGAGTAAACGTTAAAATCAACGATTTCAGCTGTTCCCACCGAATCCCCAAAACCAGACTCAGCTCCGACAAAAAGTATTCTCTCAATCGTTTTCCTCTCGATCATTTTCCCTCTTTTTTTGTAATCATCAAATGTTGCTCATTTGTTTTTCAGAAAATTTATTTTCCAATATCCAAAAGACAATTTATTATGAGTTTTTTTATACAGACAAGTGGCAGAAAAAAAGGAAAATCGTTTGCAAAAATGAATTCGTCAAATTAAGGCTAAAAATTTCGCAAAAATTAACACCGGCTGAAAGTTTGGCTCGAAAAAAAGTACACGAGAAATGGAAATCGATAAAAAACGATAAAAAAACGTCTCAGACTAGAATGCTAGGAGATTGAAACCGTAGAAAAATAGAAAAATTGGTTTTTCAAAGAATTCGCTATAATTCGCTTTAGATTGTAGTTAAGATCTTTTCTAGAGAAAGAAATTGAATTCAAAAGCAAAAGCTTACTGTTCAAAATGAAGTGAATCTTTTTTGAGCAATTTGCCCAGAGTCGAATAATAATTTCGAGCATAAAAGCATAGAATATATACAAGAATTTATGAAGATCAATGAGTTAGAGTAAATCGAGTGAATCATTTACAGTAAATCGATCAGATTTGCGTTGTCGCAGCCTCGTTAATCCAACGCATCACACGCGCTTTTCTCTCCAATTCCGAGATCGGTTTACCACGATTTTCCTCATTTTGCTCTTCATTTACATCGTCTCTAAAAAGAAAACTCTGATTTTTCTTTTGCTTCAATTCAAATTCTATCTTTCTATGACATTGCCAGGAGTTATATGCGTCTAAAGTTTTGTTAAGAAAATATAGCCATTTGGGTCTTAAGGGCCCCTCCTTGCAGACCCGATTTCGCGCAGCCGTGGCTCAGTGGGACAGCGCTGGTTCTGCCAACCAGCGCTGTACCACTGAGCCAGCAACACTAATCATCACCTTTTCAAGAAGTGATGATTAGTGTTCTTTGTGCAACATACAGTACTCGACAATGAAATATCATATTTGAAAAACGATCGTCACTTTCGTGACTCCCTTGTCATTATTGGGTTGGTGGAAAAGTCCTTTCCGATTTTATAGGGAGAGTACCTTAAACTGGTCCAATTTTGATGTTTTATAGCTCATCCTAAAGCTGAATTCAAGACGAATCAATTGGTAAAAACCGTTTTGAGATATCTCTTTTCTAAAAGTTTTTACAGCTATTTTAGTAAAGGGCGGCAGAGCCAAAAAGTGGCTGTTTTCACGTTTCGTTAGTTTTCCGTGCAGAAACCTAGGCTAAAAACATGTGTTTCGTGATCAGCGTCAAAAATCACTCCTAGACACGCATTTTCAGAATCTTAGCAAAATTTTTTTGAAAAATATTGTCACCGGTGGAAGTCGAACCAGCGACCCTCAGATCAATAGCCTTTCCGCCGCTTTTCGCGCGTCTGTGACTCCATTGTCTTTGAGTTTAAACTATTAGTGTTATACATTTTCTGAAAGCTCTTTTCAAGGGCTACACAATGATAATATTAATATTTAGAAATACTGTAAAGACAAGGGAGTTACAGACGCGCGAAAGTGACGATCGTTTTTTCAAATATGATATTTCATTGTCCAGTAGTGTATTCTCCAAGCATTATCTATGCTTCTACAAACCTCTTTGGCTGATTTGTGACTGAAGTGAAGATACTGTCGCCCTCACTCGCCTCTCCATCGGTTTTTCTCTCACCGCTGGTGTCAAAAAAGCCGTCATCATCGGATTTCGAGGTGCCTTGGCTGAAACGAATCGAATAGAAAACTGATCTGCTTTGCTCTCTCTGCTAACTGCTTTCTCAACTCGCCTAATCCGAATGTTTATATACTTACCGTTTTGAATGCTCTTCTTCGGCATCTGAATGTGGGAATCCTGAATCTTTGCTGGTAGGGGTTGAGAGAGATTTCGTCGATTTCGAGCCACTTTCAGCTGAATTTGGTGATGAGGGAGACATCAAGGATGGAGAGATCAAATTCGACGATTGAGATTGCGAAGCGGTTGGCGGGGAATAGCTGGGTGAGGATGCGGATCTGGAAATGAGATTTCAGCTAGATCTCCCGAGCTAGATCTGCTAGCAAAGTATTGTAAGCAACAGTCTAATCGAATCAAATTTTCATTTTCTGAATCGTTTCTGAATAAGATTTCTCGAACTTACACCAAAATCGGGGTCTCAAAGCTAGTGGTGGCGTAGCTGTTGCCTCGGCCGAAACGCACGAACATTTCGGGTTGCTGAAAACATTATTTAAATGGAATTAATATATTCTATTAGTGAATAAACATGTTATTATTAAAAATCTATTAATAAATCGATAAAAGAAAGGTTTAAATCTCTTTAAATCTCTTTAAATCTCTTTAAAGCTCTTTAAATCGTAAAATGCTCGAATCTACCTCATTTTCAAGATCATCATCATCTCCGAATTCGATGTCATGCATGGCAGCGGTCAGAAAATCTTTCTCCTCAGCATATTGGTCCATTTTTGGCTCTTGATTAATCTAAAAACATTGAAATTGTTTAGATGAGATAAAATAGATAATAACTATGAGATATTGCACACTTTTGACAAATTATTTACCTGAACAAGTGGGGTGACAGATCTCCCCTGAGCGGCGAGGATTCTTCGGCGAATCCCGGTGATTGGTCGACCGTCAGCCACGAGATTTGGACTGGATTTGGCTAAATTTGGGCATTTTTAACTTTACAAAATTGTTTTTAAGCTTTTACAATGTTAAATTGTTAATATATTAGCTATTGATCGATTGATCTCACCAATATTCCTCTTGCTCGTCACCATTGGGCCGTCGGTGCGAAGGGGTGAGAAAAAGCGTTGGCACTGAAAACTTTCAATTTGATTTGAGTGTTTAAAAAATCAAAATTGATACCAATTTTCAACTTACATTATTGAAATCGACTTTTTCTTCTGTTGAAGTCGAGGTTTTTCTTCTAGGAAGTGGCACTGGGGCAACGGTGGTCGTCGTGAGTTCGGTGTTCAATGGAGCCTAAAGCTTTTTGTTTTAATCTAAATCATTGCTATCAAACATAGCAAACATAGGCGAAATATTAACTACTAACCATTCTACTCAATCTCGGCTTCGGTATGGGTTTCTTGTGAAATTTCGGTGTCTCAAACTCTTTGAAACTCGACTCAAATTCGTCTCCCAATTGAGAGCAATCGGGCAATGAACGGAGTGAAATCAACGTGCGATGCGTGGAAGAGTGACTGAATTTGAATATTTATATAAAAGAATTTATGAATTGATCTTGTTTTTGTTATTTTATTCAATGATTACTTACCGTTTACTCCTTTCTCGAACGAGATCGCTTTTTGGCGGCAGCGGGGGCGGTTGAGTGGGGAAACGGACGGTCACACGCTGGAAATTGATTCGTAATTGAAGGCTGAAGAAAAAAGGTATTTAAACAAAGAGGATAGAAATTTGATATTCTATTCTTATAAATGTTTACCTTGAAAGCACTTGTTGTTGAAGGAGATGAAAGGGGATTGTAGGTGGAGGGTAAAGGAGCGAAACAGACTGGAGGTCTCTGAAATCCAAGGGATGCTTTAGGAATTTAAAAAATAGAACAAATTTCAATAGGATAAAGGAGCAAAACAGACTGGAGGTCTCTGAAATTCAAAAGATATTTCAAGAATTTGAAAAATAGAACTAATTTCAATCATTTTATTATTAAATTATATTTAATCATTAGAAAATTACAGGCAAATCATGAAATTCAATTTCGAAAAGCTTTTGAATGATGAAGAAAGAGTAAGAGAAGTAAATGAAGGTCAAACAAAGTAAAAGTAAAAATTTAGAAGTAAAATCTAGAAGTAAAAAGTGTTAAAAAAGTCAAAAAGGGAGAATTTTTATGGCTATTCTTTAGTAAACAAACGCTGTAAACAAAATTCAAATCAAATTTATGAGAATTTAGAGAATATGAAAGTCAAAAAGATTCAAAGAATAGTAATCTACTATAGTCTCAATGTCAAGGATCACCCTCCCCTTTCCCAGGGAAAATATGGCGTCTATTTTGCTATGACAACATGTTGTTTCCTTTTTACGTGGGCAATTTCGTGAAGGGTCTTTCCCAGGCCCTTTTTATCCCACAAAGAACCCAAAATGGGACTAAAATGGAATCATCGGCATGCCCATTTCACTCTTTTCCAATGGTTTCTAGGCACCACGTGTAAGCACTTCATTTCTACTACGATTTTTTTAATATGAAAAAGGATTTAGAAATTCGTGTGGGATTTCAAAATAGAAGTGAGGCAAAGGAGAAGTAGAAGTGAGGCAAAGTGGATACTGTAAGATTGTTGGGTAGAAAGGGATACTGTAAGATTGTTAAATAGAAAGGGATACTGTAAGATTGTTGGGTAGAAAGGGATACTGTAAGATTGCTGGGTAGAGAGGGATGCCGTAAGACCAACATAAACTAACCGATTGAGTCTTGGATATGTGAAGATTTGTTGTATACTATGCTATAGACTATTTGTTATATACTGTTCTATACTTGAGAGCCAATATTTGTTATCTACCGGATCCTTGTAGCATCTTTAAACCAATCGGTTTTCGAGATAAAGATATTGGCTCTTGAAAAGTTTCGATTTCTGAGATCTAACTCAAATTTTCTAGAAATAGATATTTCTTGTGATAAATAAACTGGAAACGTTTTAGATCTTGATTAAAAAGGAGAGAAAATGCTGCAATTGAGTCGAATTTTCAATTGAGTTTTCAATTCGGTGAAGGTCAACAGGATATTGGGATTTTTTGAAGATTCGATATGGGTAAATGATCCAAAAATGCGATAGAGGTAAAAAGATAGATAAAAAGATAGATAAAAAGATAGATAGAAAGAAAGAGGGAAAATCTATTTATGTAGAGAGTTGAACAAGTGAATCTGATGAAATTTGACGATAAACTGATGAACTCCTCATAGATCTTGTTCAAAAAGAATTAAATAGAATAGAAAACTCATTCAAATCCCTTTGACTCATCAAATCGAATGTGTGACTAATTCTAGCGTTGTCAGCATTGTCATAAGATATTGTTAACGAAAAGATTTCACAAAGATCCGGGTTTTCAAATCAATGATGAAAATCAATGACGAAGCTGATCACTTAAAAAACTGACCGGAAAACTGATTGGAAAACTGATAGCATAACTTTAAAGTTTGAAATGTTTGATATTTGTTTAATTTCATCTTTTGAAATGGTGTTTTTCAAAAGTTTTCCAATAAAACGTCATTTTTGGAGGAAAAGAGCCGGTTTTTGGTTGGATTGATGGTGGATATCGGTGGAATGAAAGAAATATGGGAATGGAATAGCCTTGGATATATCAATGATTGATCTATTGAACAAAAAAAAAAGGATTTGAATCAATCAGAAAACAAATTTGGCGAAAAGAAAAGTTTGGAGTTTGGGATGGGAAGTGGGGTAGTGCTGGAAATGATCTTTGAAAGACAATGGCCTGATTGAACTGCGAAAGTCGATGGCTTTGAGTTATGGCGTTGATTATTCGACTTACAGTTGATGTAAACCTTTTCTATAAAGTGGATTTGATCTTGAATCTTGAAACTAAACTGTAAGCCTTGGTTTTAAACTCAAATATCAAGCGTAAGCTATGGCTAGCTATGGTTAGAGCTATGGCTAGCTATGGCTAGCTATGGTTAGAGCTATGGCTAGCTATGGTCAAGCGCAAGCTATGACTAGCTATGGTTAGAGCTATGGCTAGCTATGGTCAAACGCAAGCTATGGCTAGCTATGGTTGGGGCTATGGCTAGCTATGGCCAAGCGCAAGTCATGGTTAGCTATGGTTAGCTATGGCTAGCTATGACTTTTGTAAACTTTAGCTATCTGGTGCACTGAAACAATTCGATAATCAATAATCAGTAATAACAGTAATCGGATCTCATTCAATGAGTGGATATTACAGTAATCCATTCATTGAAATCAGACTTATGATCAAGTGCACTGTATAACAAAAGTCACAAAAAAAAGACAATGAATTCAAGCCAACAAAAGTTTCAAACAAAGTCTAGAGTTCTAAAATTTGCTTGTAAACAAAGTTCAAGATGTGTTCAAAATGAGAAAGAACTTGCAAAATCTCTTGGAATTATAGAGAGATCCATCTCCACCCCCATCTTTTTTCCGACAAACCCCACCCAAATCAAATCCAAATCACTTAAGAAAAAAGACTGGAGAGACAGGATTCGATGAGCTCAAGGTGACAATTGATATGGATTAGAGAAAAGAATGAATCGAAGAGTTTGTGGATGGGCAATCAATCATTTCAAAGGGAACACCCATGAGTTGATAGAGAAACGAGTGGGGATTGCATACCGGATATCCACAAATAGGAGCACCCAGAAAGGCAAAAATCGTGAAGATCGAAGAGCATTTCGAGTAGAATCACTAGATGACTTTGTAGTGATCAAACAAAAGGAAATTGCAGTGTAAGGTCATTAAATTTCTATGATATAGATCGACTCAATATCAACAAAAGTTCAAGTAGAAGTCAAATTCAAAGTCATATACTCAAAAATGAAACAAAACCGCAATGAAATTTGAGTTTTCACAAAGTAAGATCTCTGCGATAAACGCTTAGCATTAGAGAAGGGAAAAGCAACGTCAAGCGATCTCAAGTTCAAATTTCTCTTCACGATGAGGATATTTAAGGGATGCACAATAGTAGAAAAAGGCGGAAAGAGAATCAGAGCTATCATATATTTCCGCTTTTTTTGGGGGGAACATTTTAAAAGGAAAGACTCTCGATTTCTTTTCGAATCCTGGGGGAAAAGCAATTCTTGTTCAAAAGAGATCATGCGAAAAATGGGGGGACAATGGACTGATTTTGAGAAAAAAAGTCTGTTTGATGGCAGTTTTTTTAAATGAGAAACATTTTGGGTAAACTAAATTCGATGAGAAAATTGAACTCAAACTTGCTGGCGGATAACTGATAGCATGGCTAAGACACTTTGGACGCTAAGCAAATGATACTCGATGAGAAAATTGAGTTCAAACTTGGTGGCGGATAACTGATAGCATGGCTAAGGCACTTTGGACATTTAGCAAATGATAACTTTAGAAATAAATCTTTTTTTGAGAGAAAATGTCCCTGTTTATGTACCCTTTTTGACAAAGGGGATACCGTGTGATCGAGACTCGGCAAAAATCCGGGTAAAATTTCGTGGATTTCGTGGACAAATGCGAAGAATTGTGCAAATAGAATCAATCTATTGAGGCTGCTAGGCAAACTGTTTTTGACTCGATACCACGAGATTGTTTCAGCAAAAAGACTTGAAACAAGAGCGATGACGAGTATTTTCTCTTGAATACACTCTAGTCATCGTTTTCTCAAATTTATCCATTTGCAAAAACTACCTTTGTTAGACCGTTAAACCGTCAAGACGTTAGACTCGATTAACCCAATTTCGATATCATTCGATGAGGGATTACAAGACTCATTGAATAATATGAAAATCTAGATGATTAAAGAAAAACTAACGCTTTTACTACAATAGTTTTCTCAAATAGATGCTTTTTAGAGAAAGCATTATTCAAGACACTCTAGAGATGATGGGGAAAAATATCGAATGATCGATGAATAGAGGGCAAAGTTTGGAGAGATTTGGCAGAGAGCCGAGAAACGAATGGGGAACTGAAGCCGGCAAATGGTTGTATCAAAGGCTTGATGAGCTGTTTCTTGCATTTGTCTTGCCCTAAATCTTGTTTTGTTACAGTATACCGATAATCCTTTATATTCTTGGGACTTAGTTGCTCGTTCTAGTCACTAGACCAATTTTGATTGTAAATCTCCTAGCTGTAAATCTTTACCTTACCCTCGTCTGAGACTGATGTTTGATCTACTGTAAAATAAAGTTCAGTACGTATGAGTCTGACACACCGGTTCTCTTATGGGTTGTGGCTAGGAATACAAACATGGTCGGCATCGGAACTCGAACCCGCGACTTCTCGCTTACCGGGCGAACGCTCTACAAATGAGCTACAGCCACTACAGTCCTTCTCAGGGTAGGACCTTATGGCCAAGGTTGATTATAAACAAGGTCCGATAATCAATGCCTTTAAGTCCGATAATCAATGCCTTTAAGTTCGATAATCAATGCCATAACTCATTCCAACATCAAGAGTTCAACAGTTTAACGTGTTCCGACTCTGATCCCAATCCCGACTCTGATCTGATGCAGACTTTTATGATGTAAGAACATAAAAAGTTCTTGTCTGTTGTTCAACAAATCGTTTTTTGTCACCTCACCACACCCATTCTCGAGGACAAATGGAAATTGAGAAGACGAACGGATCTTTTTACATTCTTTCCACTTTCGGGCGTTTTCTCCTTCAATCCACCGTAATCCCATAAATCAATGTGCCTTTTTTCACTCGATTTTTATAGTTTGTGATGTTTTTATTCGAAAATTGTTATTATTCGTTTTCTAAAGTTTTCTCCAAAAATTTTTGCAGACAAGTTTCTTAAAAAGATTCTAAAATCTTTTGTCATGATCTTTAAGAATAAAGAAAGGGTTTAGTTTTTAAAAATCGAAAACAAAACCTATGTAAACAATAGTAATGTTTGGAATTCAATGTTTATGTTTGCTTTTGGTGAAGACAGATCAGGGAATTGTTGTTCAAATCTTGGTCTGACAATGAGTAGAGAGTCTGACAATGACAATGAGATGATTTGATCACAAAAACGGTATTTATCCCGTGAGCACAAAGCACAACTTGAACTGCTACAAACAGAAAAATGGTATGTAATATGTACAATAGTAATGTTTGGAATTCAATGTAAACATGTTCATATGTAAAATGAAAAATGTTCATGTGTAAACAAATCCTATTTCAAAACTATATTTTCTAGAATTTCTAGAATTATTTTTCAAAACATTAGTTCAAAACAGTACTTTTTATCTTTTATTATTGTACACTTTAATCAAAAACATCATTTTTTTTTCCTCTCAAAAATGTGCCTTTTCGATTAAATCACGTGGCAATCGAATTCTTTTCAAATCTTTTCAAATCTTTTCAAAAAGTGTGACTTCTCAAAGATCGTCTTTCTCCAAAAAGTATGATCTTTTTCAATTTATTTCCAAATATCATTGGAAATTGGCCGGAAATCGGAAAAATCATGTGGATTGATGGAATTTGTCAATTTGATATTGCTTTCAAGAAATTTAATCATGATAACAATCAATTTTCAAAAAAGGAGGAAAAAAATCGGAAAAATGATTGAAAGAGATAGAGTTTTGTGCACAAGTTTAGTCCGGGTGTTCGCCAAACATTGACACTTGCTACTTTTGTTCATTTTATGGAGGGTACAAAGCACGACTCGTCGTCTAGCTGAGAAGTAGTGGAAGAAAAAGGAAATGGGAAGAAGTAATGAAAAAAGTAATGAAAAAGACTCAGCAAGTTTACTAATCGATTAGATAATGCATTTTCTAAAGCGTGTCATCTTTTGAGAATGATCTTAATCTTACTTCTAGTTTTTAGCTACTTTCACTTCACTGAATCAATAGATCAATAGATAGATTTGCAAAATGATCAATAGATAGATTTCTACCGTAAATACTGTAATAGTACCCCATCCCCATAATGACGGTGCGGAGTGTTGGGTAGTCTAGCTTTGAACGAGTTTTTCTTGACACTGGTTTATGCTACAATGCGTGCTTAGGTATCAAAAAATAGCCCTGAATTTCAGCTATTTTTTGAGAGCAAAGACGCTTTTTTTGAAAGTACGGGCGCTTTGAAAAAAATGAAATTAAATACTTTGCGACTACGCGACTGTACGAGGGCGGTGAGGTACTATTACAGTATCTACGGTAGGTTATTCTAGCTTTTGAAAGTTGACATATTTTAGAAAACACATTTATTTGAATGGTAAAGAACTCACAGTGATGGCGGCGGTTAAATCGCTCTCCTCCTGGCTTGAGATAAACATTCGTGGCTTGTCAGCAGCTAAAATGAAACTACAGTATTTTCATTTATGGAAACCAGTAGCTGAAGAGTTTTAAAGCTCATGTTTTACAAGTTTAATCCTATAAAGAAAACACACTTATCAATACGTCTAATGTTAACAATTTTCAGGTTACTTTTTTCAAGCTATTGCCTGTGGCTTGCCTAGGAACGCTTGCAACGCCTACTGTGGCACTTATCGTAAATACTGTAATAGCACCCCACCCCCCTCGTACAGTCGGGTAGTCACAAGAGTTTTTTAGTATTTCATTTTTTGCAAAGCACCCGTATTTTCAAAAAATACGTCTTTGGTATCAAAAGATAGCCCTGAATTTCAGCTATTTTTTGATACCTAAGCGCGCATTGTAGCATAAACCAGTGTCGAGAAAAACTCGTCCAAAGCTAGACTACGCAACGCTCCGCACCGTTATTATGGGGTGGGGTACTATTACAGTATTTACGGTAGGTTTAAATTGAGTTTTAAAATCTACATTTATTCAAGATGAATCATGTGACATAAACAAATACACAATCCCTGTTGCCCTAAAGATTTTACAAAGAAAAAAAACTCATATTGGTGAGCTTTTTCTTTTTTATTTTTTTTTTTTTTTTTTTTTTTTTCTATTTCTAAACAACACTTTTTTAGAGCAAACTATAGATTAACCGTGAATTTGTTACTTTTAGAGAAAAAACGAAAAGACTTATGCATCAACCTAATATATCTAGATGAGCGAAATTTTCTAGCCGCTACGATCAAACCCGTAGCCTTTCGACTAAGATATTACAAGATATTATTACAAGATACAAGATACTAAGATATTATTAATACAAGACTTCTAACCACTCGGCCATGACGGCATTTCTTCTTGGAACAAATTCTTGTTAAGCTTTCTTGGAAGCCATTTTATTTTGAGTATATTTGCTTCAATTGAGCTTCAAATTCCTAACCAAGCTTCGTATGTCTGAGGATAGCCGTTTTCACATAGAGTTTCTTCGACGCTTCGAGGAGTTCACTCGCCGATGGACCCGGTTCGGAGAGGCGATTGGAGAACATCTGAACAGGGGAATATATGAGTTTTGTAAATGGAATCAAGAAAGTAATCGGATAAAAGTCGATCTAGAACAAGTTCAGAAAATAAAACCCAATCAGCACTTCAGAGCGACATGATCACTTCTCAATAACTCAATAAACAGATCAAAATCCTAAGCTAATGAGCATAGCCTCAAAAAAATCATTAGAAAGGTCAAAACCGGGTGTGAAATGTGTGAAAAGAGAAAAAAAAAGACAAATCGGTGTCGAGCCACTTTTTCGGTTGAAAAATGAGTGGAAAAGTGGTCGTGGATATGAAAAAAAAGAAAAGAAACGGGAATTCGACGATGAGAAAAAGCGATAGGCCCACGAGAATTTGAGGGGTGAAATGAAGAAAAAAAAGAGAGGAGGTTGAAAGAGGGGATTTTCAGTTTTGGCTTCAACTAAACTAGCTTAGCGCAGGGATTGGGTAATTGCACCAAAGAAGCACAAATTTTAATGCCTAATGTGATTTTAATCGATTCACCCCATTGAGAGGCCACACAGAAAAAGCACGAAATGACCAAAAAAATGAATAAATGGCTTGTTGAAGTGATACAATTTGTTGACATTTCTGGTTATCTTCAGGCCATCTTTCGGCTCAAAGAAAGAAGAAAGAAGAAAGAGGGAAAAGAAAGAAGGCTCTTTTCTTTTCCACAAATACATAGGCGGTCTTCAATAAAATATTGACTTTCTTTTGTGATTCATCTCCTTTTTTTTTTGCACAAAGGTGAGCCAGCTGGAAAAAGGGTTTGCAAAGATTGTATGGAAGAGTTAGAGTGATCCGATGAATGTTATATATATATATGTTGTGTCCGATTTAGATTTCCGTCCGATTTAGATTGAACTTATCGCGGACGTCCGATTTAGATTCAATCTAAATCTTATATAGATTGAACAATAATATAAACATGCTTAATATACAGTGGCGGACAATTAAATAGAACCGAGGGAATTATTTCGTGTCTTCTCTCTCGTGCATTATTTTAACTTACTTTCAAAAGTAAAGTAAAATATAGTTCAATATACATCTATTAAACAGTTTTCGAGTTTTCTGAAAAAACTTTGAGGCACTTAAAAATGCATGAAAATAAAAGTATAGTTTTACAACTTTTTCCTGAGGCGTTTTAGAGCATGATAATGTTCAGCAAAAAGATTCTCCGTATTCGATTTAGTGGGAATAAGCTTTTAGTTTGTGGAAATTCGTTGAAATTTAAGGGTTTTCGGGCATCTGAAAGTGCTCAAAAACGACGATTTTTGGCTATTTTTGCCGTTTTTTCTCTTTTTTGACCCTTTTTGAGCACTTTCAGATGCCCGAAAACCCTTAAATTTCAACGAATTTCCACAAACTAAAAGCTTATTCCCACTAAATCGAATACGGAAAGTAAGTTAAGTTTGAAAGCAAGTTAAAATAATGCACGAGAGAGAAGACACGAAATAATTCCCTCGGTTCTATTTAATTGTCCGCCACTGTATGTTCTTAAGCGTTTTCTGTAGTTTTCTGCATTTTTCAAAGGTCTTTTATTGATTACAGTCTATATCGGACGTCCGATACAGATCGAACAATAATAAATGTGCTTAATATATAAGTTCAATCTAAATCGGACGGAAATCTAAATCGGACACAACATATATACTTTATCCCTCAAATGAATAAATAGACCAGCAAAATTAAGAAATAGAAGAATAGAAGTTAAGGTTTGAGCGATTGAGCACAGTTATCCAATCCTTAGAGTACGTAATTAAATCGGCCTAAATGCTATAACAGTTTTCACTACAAGCCATTAACAAAATATATTTGAATTGAATTGAATTGCATTTGAAATTTGAAATCATTTGAATACATTTGAATAGATTTGAATACATTTGAATACATTTGAATACATTTGAATTAATAATCAAATTGTAAATGAGAAAATTTGAAAGCTTTGTTGACCGAAAATCACACAAAGGTGCTCTTTTAGTTCCTTTATAGTTCCTATCTAGTTCCTTTATAGTTTCTATTTAGTTCCTTAATAGTTTCTATTTAGTTCCTTAATAGTTCCTATTTAGTTCCTTTATCATCTGGAGAGATCCCGTCGCTTATTTGAAAGCTTTCTTAATCATTAAAATAAAAGCTCTAATTTCTTTCTTTCAAAGTCAAAAACCATTCGTTTTTCACCAAAAACATTGAACCAAAGTATTCCATTTTTCTCTTGACTCAACGTTTACCAAGTTACTTTTGGTCGTATTGACCAAAGTGGAGAAAAGGGTGAAGGAGGGGATTGTATGGGTACATATTGGCTTGAAAGGGTTCAATGAAAAGATTAAATCGGTGTGAAGAGGGATCAAAAAAAGACGATGAATAAATAGAGAAAACATTTGAGAAATGAAGGTGGATGAATGGAATGGGATGGGTGAAGAGGAAAATCTTGATTGTAAGGCTGAAAGATGCAAGTCTTCAATCCGATTTGATTGGATAAACAAGGTTTAAAACTGCAATAAAGTTCAAATTTGGTTCCTTATTTCTCTAAATTTGGTTCCTTATCTTTCTAAATTTGCTTCCTTATTTCTCTAAACTTGCTTCCTTATCTCTCTTTGTTTCCTGATCACAAGAAGCTAAACGAGCCAAACAAATTAAACAAGCAGAATGAAAAGTTTTGTTTAGACGAAAAAAAAACAGAAATGTCTGTATTGGATAGAATTTCTTTCCCCTTGGGGTCCCTTTTTGTGGACACACTCGACGGAGCGTTTTTCATCGCGTCGATTGGAATTGCATTGGCGGAAAGATGAAACCGTTTTTCTTTTGATCTTTTTAGATGAATGGGATGCTAGATGTTTCTTTCTGAATATAGAAAATAGTCGGATGACATGGTCAGAACACTTTTAAAGTATTGGATTACATTATAAACGCTGTAAAGGATTCTCACGTTATCCGGTCAATCGTTAATGTAAGTCTTTGTCAGCTTTGTCATTGAGCTTTGTCAGCTGTCATTGAGCTTGACAAAGAGCTTTGCCATTGAGCTTTGTCAGCTGTCATTGAGCTTTGTCAGCTGTCATTGAGCTTTGTCAGCTGTCATTGAGCTTGACAAAGCTGTTTCTCTGAATTTTTGTACAGCTATAGTAGCTCTGACAAAAACAGACACAAGCAAAGACCAGAATCGATTCTCAATAACAAAGCTGAAAGCGATTTTTTGTAAAACAAATTCTCCTGGAGAAAAGCCATCTCGGGACAATTGAATTGAATTTTTTGACAGAAAAAAATTGTTCTGCTCTCTGTTTGCTTAGAGAAATTTTGTGCGATTTGTTGGAGAGAAAGTTTTTTTGACTTTTGCTTGTTTTGCGGGATTTTTCAGAGAAACCTAACAAATGCAATGAGAGAATTGAAAAGAGGAAAAAGAAGGGAAAGAAAATTATGCCAATAATCGGTCACTAGGTTTTTGATGGGCAAAATAGAGTTAGTTTTTATGTTGAGCATATTTTCATGAGCATATACCGTATTTTCTGTAATAGTAGTGCAGTCTATAATAGTGGTGAAGTCTGTAATAGTAGTGCAGGCAGGAGGGGGGGTGAAAAAATAGTAGTGCGCACTACTATTACAGAAAATACGGTAACCAAATTAAACATCAAAAGATAGACACAAACATTTCTGAAACAAAGGCCGAATTGAAAGAGCTTGAGTGAATTCAAATTGAGATGAGTTCTTGAGATGAGTTGCTTGTAAAGTCAGCCCGATAAAGAGAATTTGGTTGAGCGGCTTAGCTCAAGTGTGCTTTGGACTTCACGTTAGCATACTTATTTAACCGGTCGAGATTACTTAGTCGCAAAAATACCTACTGGCCACCCTGTCATTCTGGCCGACTGGTCTAAGGTGCTGCGTTCAGGCAACTGGATGTCGCAGTCCTCTTTGAAGGGCGCAGGTTCGAATCCTGCGGATGACAAGACTTTTTGCTTAATCCAGTCAGAAGACTTTTAAACCCATTTTAATGTTATTATTGTAAAATAATTCTAATGACCTTTCTAATGAAAGCTTTTTAATGAAACCTAAACCTTTCTAATGAAAAAAACCATAGGTTGATTATTTTTCAACGAAAGTACGAAAAGGAATGAAAAGCCTTTTCTGGAGTCTAAGACTTGATTCACTAACTACTACAATAGCCAGTAAACCATAGTTGTATGTGGAAACTTTCACTATCAAAGCAAGCAATAGGTGTTATAGGCTATAGAGAGAGGTTTCTCTGTTGTCTCTGTTATTATACCCTCCGACTCTGATCCCTCACTGATCGAGAGGAGCTGACCTCTTTTCACCCGTCATTAAACGTTGTACAAAAAGTTTTTTCTTTAATCGTCCCTATAATTGTTTTCAAGCAATAGTGGAATCAAGAAAATTGAAGAAAATTAAGAAATTGAAGAAATAAAAAGCACTGAAAGCCTTGAAAATTTACAAAAAATACGAGGAAATGCAAGATTTCCGTTCGATCGGAGATGAACAAGTGAGATAAATTTTGTGAGGGGAAACCGCGAGAACTTCAAAAAATGAGTCACGCTTTTGGGGGTGTTGTGAATGTCCGAAAAATCGAAGAGGGAAAAAAATTGGGTGAAAAGTTTCTAGATAAAAAGAATGACCTAATGAAAACTGGATAGAGTAATTTGTGATTGTAAAGTTAAAGATAAAGAGCTAAAGATTGGATAAAGTGTCGGTCTCTTGGCTCATGAGACAAACCACTTTTCAAAAGTTGAGAACTATAAGAAAAAAAGAAACATAAATTAGTTCAAATGAATTCAGACGTTTATTGAGAACGGTAATTTGGTTTCTTTTAGAATAAGATGTGATAAAACTGTAAAATGAAACTCAAGAATTAAGACTGATAGATCAATAAGCTTTTAGATTCATTACTAATCAAAAAAAAGCTTTTCCTTTTTATTAAACGAAACCGAAAACAATAAATCAGAGGCTATAGAAAGCCCAAACCAAATCGTCACAATAAAACTCGTTAACGATGACA